GCAAAATCAGGGTACTATTCAGAACATACATATAGTACTTACAAAAGTGATAATATCATATTTAGTACATTGCAGTCAAAGCAGACAGATTCATGGCTTTACATTAAGATTATGACATTGATGAATTTTAATTCCATTATTGTGTTATTTCCTACGTGCTTTTAACATTCATTCCAACACTTTTTAATGTATTCGAGTAACAATAAATCAAAAAGCTACACTTAATGTTACATTGTTTCATCTCTTGTTATTGTACTTTCAGATAAGCAGCAAAGAAGAGAAAAGTATTTGTTTTTGTGTAGTTACTATAATCCAATTGGATACAGAAAAGAATATCATTTTGCTGTGAAGTCCTTAATACATTTCATAATGTCATTCAAAAAAATGATTCAGTAATGGTATCAGCTCAAGAAATATAGATATTTTCAGATTCTGACATACAAGTAAAGCTTTAATTTTGACACTTAAGGCGTGAATTTTAGAGTCAATAAACACATGTACCAGCCAAGGTTATTGCTTAGGAAACAACTTTGAAAAACATAACCTAGGTATTTCATTGTTAAATAATCATTCACTTAAAACTTCTTGGTAACAATGGTAGATCACTATGGATTTATACTTACTGTGTGTCCCCTGGTGACTATACAACTGTTTTACCGAAGACATGGTACTGTAAACAATGAATGTTGTTTTTGTGTTTTTATTGAATGTACTCGTAAAAATTCAAAATAGCAGTATATTTTCTTGAAGTAATTCCTAAAAGTCACTGTTTCTCTGTGTTTTGCACTGATGATTGTTATTTTAAGTAAGAGTGCAGACCGCTACAGTATACAGTGTAAGTAACAAAGGTATTTACAGAGTCAGATCCACAATTGGTATGTTCTGTTTATATGTTATTCTTTATATATTTTTAAGATGCATGTATATTTTAAGTTAAGCATATATTGTATAGTGTTATTTAAGTAAGTGGTCACTAAATGCAGTTATAATATAATGTTGTATACATCTAAGATCTATGTATGGTACATATTTAAGTTTGTAAGTACACTGATTGCCTTAAACTTTATCTTGTTATCAATAAAATTATCATATCAAAGCAGTAACGATACACCTCATGTATTATATACGTGGATATCAAAGCAGTTCAATTCAAACCTGATGCAAAAAGGATAACATTTGAATTAAGCAGAAGTGGACATTTAGCATTCATTTGCCCAAAATGGACGGGGAAACAAGTTCAGATATAGACAGGAAACTATGTTCAAAACATACTCGTGAAGTTGAATACTTTTGTAAGACGCACCGATTATCTGTATGTGCAAAATGTATAGTTCAAGATCACAGAATGTGTGAGGATGTTTATGAAATATCAGAGGATGTTAAGAAAACAAGACAGTTATTGTCGTCTGTCCGCTCAACGATATCCGGTGGTATTGATAAGTTTAAACAAGGAAAGAAAGACGCTGAAACTAAATGTGAAAATACACTGAAAGAAATAGATGATCTAACAGATAGTTTGATCTCTAACATTAATAAAGGGTTAAGTAAATATAAACGGCAATGTGCTGAACAGTATGAAACAGATGTAAAAGTCAGTATCGATTTCAAGTTGAAGAACTTAGAACAGTTAGACCTGGAAGTACAGAGTTTGATGGAGAAATTATCCGATTGTGAATCGAGGATGGACTATGAAAATATAGAAAGTTGCTATAATACATGCAAAAAGTTTGAAAGTTCAGCTAAAGAGTTAACTCGAGCAAATGTCAGTGCATATGACGTTGAATTTACTCCAAGTGACATAAGTAAAATGATTCTGGCAAATCCTGATATCCTCGGAAATATAGCGTCTCTTAATAAGTCTTTAAATCAAACAAATAAACAAAGTGACGCTGATCTAAGAAATTTTGAAACGCAATCCGATCTTAATCCTCACGTACCTCTACCAGACTTAACAAGTACTGTCGTTCAAGAGAATAAACATGTCCAAACAATTAACCACGATGAGGAAGCATCTTGCGATGTGCTACACAACTTATCCGTGACGATTGACAATATTAAGCGTGATGGAAATGAAGTTGTTTTGTGCCTTGGAAAACTAGTAATTGCTGAAAAGGGGAAACTAAAACTATTTGATTTTGTTAACAATAAAAGACTTTTTGAAATGGTGCTAGATTCCCCTCCATCGAGTTTGATTTCGGTCGGTAGCAAGCATATTGCCTTGATTTTAAAAAAGTTCGATACAATAATGTGCTTCGAAGTAATGCGTAATGGTACTTTGAGACGACACCGTCGATTTAGCGATGCAAACAGCTGGACAGATATTTTAGGCATAGCGGAAGGAAAGGGGGGTGGAGCACATATTTTAGCTACTATTAAAAGCTTTGAGACGTCGGATTTCAAACATCCAGCAACGCTTATAAAAAATCACAAATTATATTTATGACATTATGACTGAGTACATTATGTTCTGATAAAAGTTAATTGTATTTTAAAATTTGTATGGTTTTTTTAGATTTATTCTTATACATGTACTAGTATTTATAGTATTTATACAATAAATGAATCAAGTCCGAAAATACATGTATTTTATAAACATATATTTGATTTAAGAACAAACTGAACAGAATAGAAAAAAATATTTACAGACTTAAACATAATTATGTACATCGTCTTGTTAAAAAATTGATTAGATATAGTCACATCGCAGGTGAAAACAGACAAGTTATATACAACTTTTTAGAAAGAGAACGAACTTATTGCAAGAAGATAATAACAATTCAATAATGTTATAGAGGATATTTGTTTGTTTGTGTGTAAGATGAAATTTTATTTCATCGAGTGAGCTTTAAAAACAGTAGTCTCAAGAGTGGTGTAGTCACGAGTGTGAACATTGTTTTTAAAGTTCACGAGATGAAATAAAATAAAATCTTACACAACAAACAGACAAATTTTCTTTTTATTTTATGCTTAAAAACAAGTTAAAACGAAATTTCCATAATTTTAACGTTAATATTAAAATCTGTTTCCCCATTGAGAGCCCCATTTAGACGGAATTTCTCATTTTAAAACAAGAAGTCTTGAGCTGAAAAATAAGTCCGCCAATCAAGGTTAAATGACGGTGATATTTATTCATTTTATTAAAAAAATATGAATGATCGCTTGTTTTAATCATAAAAACAAACAATTCTTGCAGGAGAAAATTCCAACCATCCATCCATATTTCTGTTACTTACTGCGAATTTATATTAGACCTGGCTTTCTAAAATGTAAACGGCAGCCATTTTTTAAAGTTGTGTATTTCATGGGAGGAAAATAATTGTGTAAGATTCAGAAGGATATAATTTGGATTTGTTAGTCATACACCTTTTTAAAAGAAAGAAAACTTATTTGAGGATTGTAACAGACAAAAAATAAGTGTTGACAGAAGTGAAAACATTCAGAAAAGGAGCTAGGAAAATGGAAAACTTGGAAGCTTGCTGAAGGAACGCTGGGTTGTTTTACTTATTTTACGAGTGATGGCTGTCAATGCTTTTCAATTTTTCATAAAGCATACGGCAGTTATTGCTCGTAGGATACTTTAATATGCCCAAATGTCATCAAGAGCCCGTTTTGCATGGGGAAGGAATGTATTTTTCAGACTGTAAAAACGAAACAAAAAAAATTTAGAGACGAACACCAAATTTCGTTGGAAATTGGAATTTGAAGGAATAGAAGTAAGTTTTCTCTCTGTGTTACTTTTGACATTTAAGTTATTTATCTATTTCAGCTTTGCTATTTCTTTTAACAGCCTGACATTGTCAGAATTGTCGGTAAAAATAAAATTGAGGTACCACATGGGGAAAATCTTAAAAAAGTAGTTTCGTCATTGAAAAAAGTGAAATTATATTTTGATAATTTTCACTGTGAAATTATCAAATATAATTTTCACGGATAAATCAGTAATCCACTGAAAAGCATAAAATAAAAGATGTTATTGTGTTTCTCAACGATAAAGATTCTGGGATATATTTTGATAACTGAATTAAAACAGTTTTATTTTGCGTTGAAACTTGATCTATAAATTTAAACACAGATCATTGATTCTCCACTAAACACTCAAATTAGACTGTAAGTAATAGTGAATAACTGACTTTTGCGAATAGTTATCAAGACACCTTTTTTAGTTGGTACAACTTATGTATAACATTGAACACATACTGGTTCTTCTAACATTTCACCAAAAAACTTGTAATTTTTCCTGAAATTAAGTTACCAAGAATTCGAGATTTGTGCAAAAACAGATACGTTACCATTTTTCCAGTTGCTTTCAGATACTAGATAAAAAATAATTAGCAGGAATATACACGATTTTGAAATTTATTATCATTCTTTCAACAATATAGCACCAGTATATATTACAAAATATTATGCATCAATATGCATTTTAAAAAAATCTACGTCTAAGAATAGCTTGTGAACTTAAGCTGATGAAAATGTTTCTTGTTAATTAGACTTGTTTATTTCAAATACATATTTACTTATAAAGCATTTGAAGTCAATAAAAATACTGATGTTTCATATTTATCTATTGACACAATGTAGCTCGGATTTACTGTACAATATAAATTTATTCCACTAAGTTGAAACGAATACTAAATCATAGTAACGTATCTGTTTACCGTTCTTCTATGAACAAAATTATGAAAATCCATAAACACGTAGATATTTATATACAAAAAGTTTTTTAAACAACTTGCCAATAAAGAATATGTCTGAACCAATAGTAACATTGAACAGAACACACAATATCATTAACAGTTTTTGATAGGTTTTATTGTTTTATGTGTAGCTTCAAATAGTCAAATAACAACTTTAAGACAGAATGAACTTTACAAGAACATTTAAATAAAGACACTCATCTATTATATAGAATATGTAACAGCTAGATTAATGGGAATGTTTCAAAGTGTAAGTTGACATTCTGTATTTCTTTTGTCTTTTTTCGTTTATCTAAATTGTCGTTATTTTTTTCTATATATTTTTCTATATACTTGTACAATCTCGATACTTGATTTTGACATACTCAATGATATGAGTATGCCTACATGTATATGCTTATGTACATTTAACAAAATTATTATACCAGAAACAATGGTACCGCTTAAAGAAAACCAATTTAGTAATAATCAATCCATATATATGTGCACCTACGAGATTTTGAGCTATGTCTAATTAGTCCATACCTGCCATAGATAGATAATCTTGATACGACCCTAGTTAAAATTTAGAATCTAACGGGCATTTATTTCAAAGTACTTTAATATGTTTTTTTATTTTTTAAGTTACAGCACTGTTATATATTGCCTAACCATATATTATTTATTTAGACCAAAGTTTTGATGAAGATTTAGTGATATATATTAAACAGTGTTTAAAACTCTTTCGAAACAGATACGTTCCTATGATAAACAGATACGTTACCAGAAGTTATAAAGTCCTCTATATTTCATTTTTAATACAAATTTTGTAAACCAAAAAGATATCAACATAATATTATATTTATTCCAGGAAATAAAACAGTAAATCTTTATACGTTTCTTTCCTTTTTTCAACATTTTATTATCTAGGAAACTTAACTAATCCTTGAATTTCATATTTCTGATTCAAATTTTCAGTTTTCCAATAAAATCGAAATCAAAACATCATGTATTGGCTATACATACATAATGCTGTTATTCTTTACATGAAACCATTTCAAAACTGAGCAAAATCATCAATTAAGATTTAAATAGTAAATATTGGTAACGTATCTGTTGGTAACGTATCTGTTGGTCAAAAAACTAAAATATATCAGATATGTACATATGTTTGCCAAATATATTGAAATATTCAGTATTGTAAAGCATATATTTGAATAATGCATAAATGTTATCCTACTTTTAAGTGCTGTTAATAGTAAATGTTTCTCAGTGGGGTATCATGGTAACGTATCTGTTTCACTTTAAAGTATAATCCAAATTGCCTTAGCATTGCAAAGTCATTGTGGTTCTAGCATGTATATTGTAGTCAAAATTATTTTTGAATAATGAAATATGATAGAACTTGAGTTAAATAGTAAACTATTAATATGTAACAAGTTCATATTACTCTTACTCAGGTTTACCTAAATTGTGGTAACGTATCTGTTCAATATACGAGGGACATGCATTTCAGCTTGTACCTTTTTCCAAATTCACTGTAGAAAACAATAAAACTGGCTCACTTACACATTTAAACTAAAACTTAGTACTTAAGAGGTTTTTCTTCAACACATGTTTCAGGTGAAATGATGTAAAACCAACAGTTAATATCGGCACCAAGCCTGAGGACATTAAATAATGGGTTATTCAACACCTTTGCATGATAATATTTTCGTATAAATCCAACAGACTAGATAACTAATTTGAATGCTTTACATACATGACCATGTAATGAAGCAATAAAATGCTCAAAAAGTATTTTGCAACTGCAGTCCAACAAAATATACTCGTGGGACAGAATATTTTCTAATTTGCGTGTTTAACGGAGAATCAATGAGATGGTCTAACATAATAATTTTTTTTAAAGATACTGCATTCGAAAACTATGAAAACAAGGGCATACACATATAAAGTGATTTTCATCTTCTATGTCAAATGTATTGCAACATAAACAATATCGCTGAATTCACGAGGTGTATTTATTCCTTTTGTATTACCCAGTCTGTATTCTTAAAGGGATATATGTTTCTCAGTTAATTAGATTCGGACGAAAAGGATTTCAACGAGCGGAATATTTCCATTACCAGCAAGCTTCTAAAACAGGGCCACTGTCATAAATTACGGAAATATTTTACATAATTTTACAATCGTAATTTTGATTTAATTATAAAATTCAATAGTGATTTTTTGAGGTTTCGAAAACCTATAACATGTACTCCGACTATTCCATACAGCTGGCAGATGCTTTCTGTAGGGACCCTGAAGGAGTGGTGTTTCACAATTGATCCAGACAATAAGTGGGAAACTTATGATATTCAGACATAATCATAATGGACGGCTCATGTGGGCCATTACCTCCTGGTAATAAAATAGAAAATATAATCCAGTTTAATAATTAGATTCAATGTATTGATAAAATAAATGAATGAATCAATCAATCAATCAATGACCGATCGATCGATCAATCAATTAATCTATTAATCAATCAATCAATTGGTCGATCAGACAGTCAATCAATCAATTAATAAAATTAGTCAAAGAATAACCACAATATATATAATAAATAATAAGGACACATTAAATGTAAATAGTAAGCATGTTTGATTTTATTATACAATATAATACTTTATCATCATGTAGAATACTATACTATGTGTAATGTCTCTGTAGCAATTTAAAAGAAAAGAGGCAGAATAGATTAAACGTCATTATTATGTTGTTTCTGTGAAACTTAACTAAAAAGATATTGCTACGCATTTTTCTTGTTGCTTTTTCCTGGCGATTTTTCATACCTTTTAAAACGTTAAAAAATCATACCTGTGCAAAAATATTTCTGTGGCTTCTTTAAGAGGAAGAAAATACCTTATTGCTTTCCAACGGTAACTGTTGTCTGGGTATTTTTACAATTTACATTATCTATATCGTTTTTATAATCCAAGTCCAGCACTTTGTCATCAATAAATCAATACCTACCATAACTCACATCAATTCACTTCAATTTAAATGACTGTTAAAAATCCTAATATTGTACAACCAGATAACGACAAGTAATATAACGAGGAAAGGCTCAAAATGAGAAGGATTCCTCCGAAAAGCTTACTTCTCGCCAGAAGGAAGATACTAAGTCGGAAGATGATGTTGTTGATCCTGGTGATGTGGAGCCGGAAGATAAAGATGAGGAAAACAAGGAGAATGGGGGGAAGGTCGACAGTAGAGATGAAATGATTGAAGATGGAGGTGGCGGTAAAGATTATTTACGGATCTGCTCCAGTGGTTATGATTTCTTCCAGATGCAGGAAGATTACAGAATCCGCGGAATTGTGATAAATGAGAAGCAACTACGTAGCGTTGTACAATGTGCGACCCTGCGCGCGCAGGTGACATTATGCCGTGTTCTGACGTATCGTTCCATTGGTAAAATCTGCATCCTTCATGGCGGTAAAGATTTCACGATGATTAAAAATATAGGATATAAAGCTGGTGTGAAAACATATAATTTGATGAAACACAGAAAGATTTGTTGGCATGAAAGCATGCATTTTCTATATAGGACCCAGTATAATTGTGCATGTATTAAGGCACCGGCAAAGTTGAAGTGCTGCTTTGTCCTACATGTTGTTTATATACAAGTATATGATTTGAAAAGATAAATATTATTTATGATAATAAAAATATAGAACTTCGTAATAATTATTTTGTCAAAAACCGAAAATGCAACGCCATTAATTCTCTAACAATCAATTCAGTCAATAAGATTTGAAGTAAGTATCAGATTCTATTGCATTGAAAGATTACTGCATGTTTTCTCTGTCATACCTTTTAATTAACGCTTACTAAATAGGGATCGTCGAACTAGTAATCTAAAGATCGCTGGTCGCGTGGGTTCAAACCCCGCTAGGGCCAGGCCATTGTTTCTGTGAGCAAGAAACTTTACACTCATTGCTTAGTATTGATTGCTTAGTATTGGTTATTTCCATGAACTGATTCAAACTTAAAGCTTCCAACACAATTGACCTACAATAAATTCGTGTAAACTATACTAACTAACGTTCTACTGCATTTCGTTCGGTGGTTAAGGTGTCTGCCTCTCAACCCAGAGATCATGAGTTCGAGCCCTACTTGGGTCACGACCATGTTTCTTCATATGACACCTGTACTGGTTGGTTCCAGGAAGCGGACTCGAAAGTGATTAATATAAGTTGCAAGAACTTGTTACACAATCGAGCTTAGATAGATATGTTTAAACCAATAGAGAAAACCCGAGTAACCAATACAAGTTTATTTATAAATCTGCAATGTTATGTCAATACATTATCAGTATTAGCATTTATAAATATGTTTTGAATTCTGTAAAAGACCAAAACAACAATACATTATAAATATTGTGTACTAAGTGAAATAAGACGGGGTTAAAAAAATCAACTTCAAAGTTTCTACCCCAAACGTACAAAACTGTTTATATTCAACTTCCTGATTGATCACGATTTGCAGACGACATTTCACTTTAGTTGATATTTGGTAATATAAATTTATATGCTAAGTATGTTATTGATATTATGAGTTTAAGATCAGTCGGACATTAAGTTTATATAGCGAAATTATTTTATGATGTCGAGGAAAGGGTGAGTTTGAAGTTTTATATGGTATAATTTGAGTACATGTATAATTATAAAATATGTGTTACTCATCAGATAATATGATATGACATGTTTAAAATTCTGCTTGGATATTAGTTAAATTAAATGGAACTTGTTCTACATTATACGTAATTTGACTTGTAACTATAAAAGATTTAGTGTTCATTTGTAATACTTTGACTACTTTATTCTGTAAAACATTAGATATGTGATCAAACAGCGTTCGTGTATTAAACAAACTGCCTGCAATACTTGTACTTATTTTATTTGCCTCTTACCTCCTTAATTAGGTTCGAATTCCACTATGGACTTCGGATTCTTACATGTGAGGAAGCTATCCAGTTTGCTTACTGAACGTCGGTGGTTATATTTAGGTGCCCGCTCGTGCCAAAAATAATGCACGGAGTGGCACCTGAGGTCTCCCACCACCAGTAAAGCTGGAAAGTCGCCATGTTACCTAAACTGTGTTGGTGCCGAACAAAAAAAAACTCGTACCAAACAAGGTTCTCGGTACATGTTACAATGAGTGACTATCCTTAAATGATGCAGTAATTTGCCGTTTTGTATTATTTTATTCTTTCATGTAAAACAGTATTAAAATATGATAAAAATTGACAGAAAATATTTAACCTTATTTGCATGTGTATACCAACTTGAATAGACCACGCATGAATAATTCTTTTATACATTTTTTCGTCTGATTTGTCCATTTAGTTACTGTTGTGATCAATAGCATGATGTTATTTACTCACAAATGTTTTAAATAAAAAATTATAACTCCGCGGTCTTATATTTTATTTTTTTTTTTCATGACAGATTTTATAGAGGGTTAGTAGCCGCCACAGTATTGTTAGTTCTATGCGCAACGCTTAAGAATGTCTGGCCACCCCGAACGCCGGGCACACGTTTCGACAACAAACCCAAAACTGTTTCTGTTCCAACAACGACGTGGCCATATAGGCTGGTAGGTAATGGAAACCAGGATGACATTCAGATTAATCAAGACAATTCAACGTACCTAAATGACAATGCAAAAGCATCTCTTGCTAAAGACATCGAAGGGGAAACACACGTGTCTTGGTTTGATATGTGTAGTAGAAAAGATGATAATGATGTGGCTAAAATTCAGCAGAAGGTCAAACACATCATGTTTTTGAAAGTACACAAGGCTGGTTCAACAACAATGGAATATTTATTCTTCAGATTTGGTATCCATTACAATTTGACTTTAGTACTTCCCAAGAATGGTTTTTATGTCCTAATGAGAGATGATCTAAGTGACATTTTGCCTATAAGACAGGATGCCCACTACGATATGTTAGCCAGTCATACAATTTATAATTCAACAAAGATTTCGCGTGTCCTGCCAGAAGACACAATAAAAATCGGAATTATTCGGGAACCGTTTGACAGAATGGTAAGTGCGGCATACTATTACAGGGACATAAGAAAAATGCCATATCTTTCAGCTGTACCAAAGGACAATTTTATATCAAACCTCATTCGTAATCATTCTGTATATGATACAAACGAATTTTCTCAAACTAAGAATTCTATGGCAATGGATTTTGGATTTCCTAAAGGATTGACAGAAAACATGTCATATGCCATTTCAGCTTACATTTCAAAACTTTCTTCCGAGTTTGAACTTATTCTAATAATGGAAAGATTCGAAGAATCGTTGATCTTGATGAAAAGACTCTTGAAATGGGATACGTCCGATATATTACACATTGCAACGAACAGAAACAAGCATATACAAGTGACACCTGATACAGAAGATCTGGCTAAGTTTAAATCTATGTGTTTCCTGGACTATGCTATTTACAATCATTTTTGGAGAATATTTGAATCCAAGATAGCATCTGAAGGCAAAAGTTTTAAAGAAGAAGTCGAGTACTTTAAAACCGTATTGGATAGTGTTAACGCATTTTGTAGGAATGTGAAGGAGGGCGACAATTTTAAGGTTGATGGGTCACAGTGGAACTGTCCATTCACATTGACTAGTAGAGACTGTAAAGCTATGGAAATGGATTTAGATGTTATATCTCTCCCGATTTTAAGGGAACGACATATTAAAATACAAGGCCTTTGAATATTTTTTTATTTTCCTCATCATTTGATGCTGGAGTGTCGAGGGCATCCCATTAAAGACCTTACAATATCATTTTTTAATTTAAAATGTTGCATTTTAGACTCTATATGACAAGTAGTGACAAGAAAAAAATATATGAAATAATAAAAAAAAACATATTTTCCCATTGTTGTTTCCAAAGCATCTTTCTAAAGACTCTTGATTGGCTATTTGAAGATTTTTTTTAATCAACATACATGTATAGGCTTACTTTGGGCTTCCTTTTTATCTGTAGTTATCTAGTTCCCGTTCTTTATCAAAATCTAATAACATGTTGTTTTTTTTTGTTTTTTTTTGTTGTTGTTGTTTTTTTTTGCGTGTGTGTATATTGAACGAGTTGAATAGAACTTTTGATTTTAAACTCAAATTTGATAATCATATTTCTGACATTTGTAAAAAAAGCCTCAAAACAACTAAACGTGCTAAAGAGAATAGTTAAAAATTTATGTAAATTGGGGAAATTGAACATATATTACTGTTTTATACTATCAAACTTTATTTACTGCCCTGTCACCTGGCACTTCTGTGGAGAAAAGTACACAAAAAAAACTAGAGAAAATTCAAGAAAGAGCATTAAGATTAATTTATGATGACTATCAATCAGACTATGACTCACAAAACTATAGCCCTCGAAATTCATAAAATTATTCATAAACAAGGACCAACATACTTACATGATCTCGTTAATATAAAAACTCATTCTTTTAATTTTAGGTATAAAAATGTAGCCATTATCCCTCAGGTAAGAACCACCAGTTATGGCAGCAACTCTTTTCGTTCCTATGCACCTAAACTATGGAATTCACTTCCTCAACACCTCAGAATGGAAGTGAATTATGACCAATTTAAAAGTTTAATTGGTGCATGGAATGGAGAGAGTTGCTCATGTACTTTCTGTCAATAAACCTGCATTATAGTTTAGCTCCATCTTCAGTTTTGTTTCTTGCCTGCTTTCTTTTGTTTTGCTGCTTACTTACATGTATCTGTTTATTTCACATTTGGCTTAAATTTTGTTAATATTCTCAACATAAATGTTTATGTACATGTATTATTTTTCCAGTGTGCTTGAATTTTGTTTGCTTATTGTCAGCTTATTGCGAAGTTTGCTTATTGAGGAGGCTGCTGATCACTTCTTGCAAATTTTGAATTGGGGATTTTTTATTTATAAAACCTAATTAGTGGTCACATTTTTGTGATCCTTTTCATTTTCAATATCTTATTTCCTTTCTTTTATAACAGTCCAGGCTAGGCCTGGGTCAAGATCAGCAGAATCCACCCACTTTTAATGTAATCTTATTTTATGTATGTGCTAATATGTTCCGCATTTTTATCTAGATATATATTATTTTATTCACTTATGATACAGTAATTAAATGTTATCCTTAGCATATCATTACTATTTATTAATTATTATTATTATTTTACTTTAAATTATTACATTTAGTGTCTACATCCCACATTATAGTAATTTAACTTGTCTTTTCCAATTGGCTTTCAAAAGTTTATCTTAATGTGCTTCTTTTATGAGCAGTTTTATGTTTATATGCATGTATGTCGGTCAAAAGCTATACATAGCTTATGTTTTGTAAAATGTTAGATATGTACGTATACCGACAATAAATAAATTTTGATTTGATTTGATTTGATTTGAATTATATTACGTAACGCAAATTTCACTCGGGCATATATGGACATTAATTCTTTAATTTGCCTATGACCTTGCGTTTTATATTGCCGTATTAAGGAATCTTTGAACTTAGCCAATTATGCAGCGAGATAAGATCAATGTGTATGTGACGGTTCGCTCCGGAAAATGGTGTAAACTACATGTATACCAAAATAAATAAGACCTATACACTATCAGAGCAAATTGCCATGTGCTCTGTGTATGTTATATACCAGCAAAAGAAATCGCTGCATTGGTTAAGTTCTAAGTAAATGATGCACCTAGCGATCATATATATCTAATTGGGCCAGAGCCATATGTGTAAAGTGGAACTTTTAAACCATGGCAGTACATGCAACTATTTGAAATGAAAACGATGATGGTGGACTGCGGAAACGCGCATGTGCCACGTGCACGCGGTCATTTGTGGACGCTGTTGTTTCACAGTGAAGCGCCACGTGCCTTATATTGCCTTCAAGCTTTTGCGCATGTATATGCTACTCTGCAACGAATTTGTGTCAATGGGCACTAGAAGATGGTATTGATGGAAAGATGTGTAAATTTAAATGTTTTAAAATACAATAAAATAAAACAAAAACCAATATGTGTTCAGAAGCACAGTGTTATATCTAATCTGCTGGAAAATCGCTCATTCGAAACATTTGGGCTCCGCTTTACTATAATAAATGGCAAACAGTAAAACATTTATCCTTGTCTAGTCGTATTGCTGAGGTCACTAGTTTAAAGAACCCAGTTTAGAGCAACAATTTTTAGTTTTGTAATCATTTTATTTATCATTCATATACAAAATATACCTTAAGCATTAACATTTTCACAAAAAAAAATGAATAAAGATTTATATATATATAAAAAAAAATAATATAAAGTGAAGTGAATCGTCACTTAAGTGGAGCGAGTCGTAATGGAGCGAACTGTAATTTGAGCGAATCGCTTTTTTTGTCTGCTTCGTTTCTGAAAGAGTGATCAGGATATTTGTTGATATACAAGTCTAATGGGTGAGCCAGGTTGTCATTTGTAAGATCCAGTAAGGCTTAAAATTATCGGATACTATAAATCTGCCAAATATGATACCGTTCGAAATGGACAAACAAAAAAAATTAACAAAGTAGATGTGTAATCGGATGTAAAAAGATATTAGGATATCATTCGTTTTCTTTATAGATGTCTAAAATGAACAGATGGATTTAGCTTATAAAAGTATCTACTGGTGCCTCATTTTTCCGTGGTAACCATATTTCCAAGGTATTGGGTATAAACAGTCTCAAGGGCCTCATAGACTCCATGCACCTGCCAGGAGTTTTTTAACACTGTCTTATTTTAATTGAAATGTAACAAATACAACTGAGGAAGTGGAAGTGGCTTGACATACGGCTAGCCAAAGTTCTAGCCGTAAGTGAGTCATGTACAGCTAGCCAGGACACGCTGTATTGTCTAACCGTACGGCGCTTTTCAAAATTATATGAAAGTCAAAAATGCATATGTTATTTTAGGATGACGGACAAAACCCCACACCTCAAAATTCTATAGAATGTGCAAAATCCTACACCTTCAATTTTATAGAGGGGACATAACCCGACACTTTATTACTAATACGGGGAAGTCAAAGGCTTTGGCTTGCCCGGCTATAGACTACACGTGTATATTTAAAAGAAAATGAAATAAAAAACAATTAAAAAATATATAGAATTCTATACCTATCAATGAAATTTTCAGTGTCAGTTCTAGTCGGGCGCCGCCATTTACAATGTAATGCAATGATAATAGGCGGGGTATTCCGATAACGGAACAAATCTCAACTTTTCGGATAAATGATAATGGTCGAGTGTTCCGAGTGAAAACGGAAGCGGTGCATATAATACCGAATGACACCTTTAAAACGGAAAGAATGAAAGGAATTTTTAACGACTTCCCCGTTCATAGGATTTGCCTAATTTCATATAAAGTATAGACTTTTGACTGACAATAAAATAAGTAACATTGTTGACATTTTGAATAATTAATTTTAATTAAGATTAATGAATGCTTACACTTTGATTTTATTTAACAGTTTGTAATATTTGAATGCTTACTCTTTGATTTTTATGTAACAGTTTGTAAAATTTGTATAGTCTATTATCATTTAATCATATTGTATTGTATATTGAAATTTAATATATCACATTAACTATATATATCATTAACTATCATGATCAAAGGAACTATGTTAAATAATTAAAGTATCTATATCAAACTTTAGTAAATATTCTGTTTTATTCTTTTTGACATGATCAAAATCATATGAATTGTATGGTTTTATAACAAATAATTAGGTACTCTATAAAACTGAAGGTGTGGGGTTTTGTCCACTATAAAATTTTGAGGTGTGGGGTTTTGACATGTGGGGTTTTGTCCTACATTCGTTATTTTACGTCTTTAAACAAGGATTTTAACCAAGAAACAGCAAATGTTGTTTTGGATTTTATACAAGGTGGTTGCAGCACTGATGTTTCAACGCTCTTCAAGCTCTTCATATTAAGTTCATTTATCATTTTTGAGACACTACTATATAGTCATAATCATTAAAAATATATCTAGCAGCTGATCTTTGGACTTGCTCTATCTTATGAATTAAGTATTTCTGCCAAGGATGCCAAACTATGAAGCATTATTCAACCTGAGGAGGCTCTGAGGTCTAACATAGGTCTTATATTCAGTTTCCTTTATCTTTTTATTTGGGGTTTTAACATACTTCTAATGAACTAGGGATTTATTTGCTTTAGATGTAATATTGTTTATATGTTTGGTCCATGAAAGGTGTTGACTTATAGTGACTCTTTAAGTATTTTGCTTTTTGGATTGAGTTGAACATGTTGAATGTTATGGAGGGTATAAGGAAATATTACAGGGTTTCTTTTTCTTGTTATCCTGAGGACTTCACATTTATCAGGGTTAAACTCCATGGACCAGTCTTTTTCCCATATTTCTAAAGCATGTAGGTCATCTTGGAGGGTTTGGGCATCTTGTTTAGATCTGATGGTTAGGTAGACAACAGTATCATCTGGTCAATGGTCACCGTCACTTTGCTACAGTAAAGAAAGTATGAATATTTCATCTTTGTCCTCTCAAGCTTACAAGGAAAAAGAACATTCAGTTGCAGTTGAATAACATCAATTGAAATCATTTACATAATTGTTATAATAATCCTTTTTAGTTTCAAAAAGTTTAATCTTCAACACCTTTAATAATGAAAAAAAGCACCAAAAATAATTGCTGTTGAGTATACATGTAGAAGTTTATCCATCATTGAAGAAGTTTGCATGAACGGTGAAACGATTTCCAAAATAAGGTCACTATCCAAGGTCCATAACTTCAAATAGCATGGATTTTGACAGAATTATGATCCTTTTTGAACTTAGAAAATTCTTGATGTAACATCTACTGAAGGTGAGAAATCACTTCATAATCATAACCATTGGTTACGGTCAAAGACACATAATTCTAACATGGATTTTGACTGAATTATGGCCCTTTTTGAACTTTGAAAATTCTTGTTTATAGTTATAGTGTTACTTGCAACATTATTATTCAAAACAACTATAGTGATTCACTTGAAACTTTATATGTGTTTGCGTAATCATAATTGAAGGTCACTGTCCAAGGTATTGTAACTATCATGATACAACTAAGATATCCTGATACTAACATGATACATTTTCATCTTATACAGGAAAACTATTGAAATATTATCAAATGTTCCAATATGAATATTGATTTTATTTCTTTCCTTTTTTAAAGAGAAATTTTGCTAAAAGTTTTGGAAAATCATTATTTTTGAAGTGGGGATTGTGACCTTATTTCTACCCCAAAATTACCCTTGCCCCACAAGCAAAAAAAAATTGAAAAAACATATATGTTTTATTATTATTATTAGTTTTAATTTCAGATGATGTACCATGTCTGCTAAATTAACAGTGGAACAACTGAAAAGAATAGAAGAAAACAAAAGAAAAGCCCTTGCTAAAAGAGCTGGGAAATTGCAACAGACCACTAGTCATGTGACCACAGGCTTTAATAAAACACAAAATGAGGCAAAGTCCTCATTAACTTGTAGTTCCACACATGAATTCACAAAACAAGATGAGAAAAATAGGGGAAACATCTACCATGGAAATAATTCATCTGTTCGTACAACAGATTCTGTATCAACAGGATTTGTGTCTTCAAAAAATTCACCTGGAAACTGTATATCAAAAACACAAGACAGACAGGTAGAAGAAACTAATTTCAAAGCCACTGTAGTTGGAGTCAAAAAAGTTCAATCAGTGTTAAAACCACCTGTTGGTTTAATTAGTTCAAATTGTGGTGAAGTCAGTGGCAGACGTGCCTCTGTTCCTTCAAGTAATATTAATCAAGCACATAATTCAGATCTTTCTGAGAAAAGTGCAAAACGTGAAACATCAGGCGATGTTACTTTATCAACAAAGACTTATACAGAGCCTACAGGGACAAGCATTGATTTTGCAAGATTGCAAGGCAATAGTGTTTCAAATGATAAACAATCAGCAAGTGGTGTCTCAAACACACAAATAGATTATGACAAAATTGAGCAAAACAGATTAAAAGCTTTGGCCAAAAGAGCTGAAAAATTGAACAAAAGTCCTGGAAAAACAATACTGGCATCCTCAAATTGTGTCAACAATGCTAGTAAGGGAATTCAACAACCTTCATCGTCTAACAATGTAACTACACTGTCAAACAATGTCAATTCAAATATTTCAAGTTCTTCAACAAATTTGAGAAGCGAACTAAGCACTCTTCAAAGTGGTACCAGTAATGAATCAAGCAGTTCTGGTCAGAACATATTCTCAAAATTTTCTGGTACCCCTGTTAAAGGGGGATGTTTCCTGGTATCTAGGGACAGGTTTGAGGTGAAAGTCGGTTACAGTGCACCACTCATAGAATTGTTCAAAACCATGAAAACAAAAATTTATGGTAAGTCATTTATCTCATTTATTAGAAACCTTGCATTATCTATTGACAAAATGTTTTGTGTCAAGAAAATGCTTTTGCAAAAGGAAGTTCTAGCCGTACGTGAGTCACGTACGGCTAGCCACAACACACTGTATTAGCTAGACGTATGGCACTTTTCAAAATTATATGGAAGCCGAAAATGCATATGTTGTTTTATGGATTTTAACCAAGAAAAAAGAGCGTTTAGTTTCAGTTGAATAACACCAATTGAAATAGTTTACGCAATTTTGGTTATTATACTTTTTTGGTAATAAGTTTAATTTTCGACACCTTATTAAATGAAAAACCACCGAAAATAATTGTGGTTCAGCTCTGATAATTGCTTAATAAATTCAATTACCGACAGTATAGAAGTTAAGAAAAGTTTGCATGTTCTGTGGAACGCTTTCTAAAATTCCCTGGATAGGCTTTAATAAAGGCTAATTGATTGTGCTTTTATGTTCGACATTTATCTACTGTATTTAAAAGATATACCATTGTTTTTGCAGTTTTTTTCGTTTTTTTTTCAATGTTCTTTTTATTTATTTATTCCACTCCGATCATGTCGTTATGAAAAAGCTTCTTTTGCCGTTATGATTATTTATCCGATCCATGGATGTGCTTAATTAACAAAAATGATTTAATAATTCATCTTTCATTCAAATAAAACAACAAATCATAAGCATGAAAATCAACGACGTTATAACTTATAACATGCAATTTTGAAACTTTTATCAAGATTTTGTTTGTTTACTTGTTTCATTTTACGCCTTTTCCCAACAGTATTTCAGTCATATAGGCGGGTAGTTTCATAACCATCGTTCCTGGAGAAAGATTACTAACGCCTGTTCGTATTCATTTTTTTTTTACAAAATGGCGGAGCATCTTTATTAAAGTGAACACACGAGGACAAATGGGAGGACTTGGTTAAAATCCTTGTTTAAAGACACAAAATAACATATGCAATTCGTCTTCCATATAATTTTGAAAAGTGCCGTACGGCTAGACAATACAGTGCGTCCTGGCTAGTCGTACGTGACTCACATACGACTAGAACTTTTGGCTAGCCCGTACGGCTAGCCACTTCCTTTGCAAAAGCTTCGAAGATAATAGAATTGTTTCTTTCAAATAAATTTGGTATTTTTTCCCGAAGCTGGAAAACCGTGTAAGCAGTTTGATCATAGCTAATTGTTTTGAGTGGTTTACAAATTTTAGGGAGGAAAAAAAGTATCAAACTAATGCAGATGTTTAAAGTGTCATTGTGTATATATTTAGATGCTGTTACAAAGAAGTGGTCATTCAAGTTGTCAGAATACAATAGTTTCAGTGAGTATAAACATTTTTTTTCCTCAAGGTAATGAAAAGAATTTCAACATTGTTACTTTGATCATTTAACTTGGAGTAAAAGACACATGTTTCAATAACAGTTATTTCCCGTCATGTTCTTTAATAATTATGTCAATAATGGAAATAACTGTTATGTAAATGATTTTTTCCCTTTCCTGAAAGTTATTACCATCTCTTTTATGAAAATTGTTATTTTCTTGTAATGGAAGTAACTGTATATTTTTTCCCCTTTATTTCAAGTGTCTGTGTTTAAAAAAATGGCTATTACCCTTTAATTGAAGGACATGTGTACTTAAATTGGTTATTCCCCTTAAATGGAAGTATATCCATACTATTTATTATTTGTCAATTATCATGTAAATGTAATACTTATAAATAAAATATTGTTTAAACTAAATGGAAGTATATATGATCATAAATTGGTTATTTCACTTTAATATTAGTAATTGCTATTGGGTGAGACTGCCATTAGCAATTGATGTTTTTACTATTTTGTTTTGTTTTGAAAGCTTAAGCTATGAAATTTTGAATAGATGCACATTTATAGATGCAAAATTAAACTTTGACACTTGTTGATCTAAATTTTGATCCATGATCTACTTCTTGTAAACGAAGATTACACTATGAATTTTGGACTTATTGCACAGTTTCAGTGCATAATTGAACTTTGATTTGGTTGACCTAGTTTTCAACATAATGTCTTTCATCCATGATTCTAAGTCTTCAATGTTATCAGCCTTCTGTTATATTGAGCCTTAAACTCAGGTGAGAGATATAGGGCCATCATGGCCCTCTTGTCAATAGAAACTAAATGTATGTTTCTTTTAAGTAGAAACTGTTTAAAACTTAGAGTTTAACAATTATTGTTTTGTAGTTTATTCTGAAATTTTAGTAAAAATTAAAGTTTGAAATGAATGATTTTTTTTCTGTTCAATTATTTGAATACTACTTTAACTTTTGCAGTAAATGCTGTCAGGAATCTGAAACCTGCTGTGGACATAGAACCATTCCCTAAAGCCATCCTTGCCACTTTTAGTGCTCAAATAAGGGGAGATGATTGCCCTAAAGTGACATCAATTGCTGATTTATCAAGGGTAGAACAGAGTTTAGTCAACTCGCTAATGTCATTCCAGAGAGAAGGTGTAAAGTAAGTCAGCCATTATAAGATAGGGTTTAGGGGTTTACAGGGCTTTTTTCCCCCTTCAATATCACTCACAACCCTTAAAACTCAAGTAAAGTTCTTCATAATCAAGCAGTCTTCCCTTAAAATTCAATTAACATCAAGTTTTTAGCTCACCTGTCACAAAGTGACAGGTTGAGCTTTTGTGATCGCTTTTCGACCGGCGTCCGTCCGTAAACTTTTGCTTTAAATGACATCTCCTCATAAACCACTAGGCCAATTTCATCCAAACTTCTTAGGAATGTTCCTTTTATGGTCACCTTTAAAAATTGTTCAAAGAATTTAATTCCATGCAGAACTCTGGTTGCCATGGCAACCGAAAGAAAAACCTTTAAAAATCTTCTTTTAAAGAATCCAAAGAGCTAGAGCTAAGATATTTAACATGAAACATCTTCTAATGGGTGTCTACCAAGTTTGTTCAAATAAAAGCCCTGGGGTCAAAATTGGCCCCGCCCCAGGGGGTCATTGATTATCCTTATATGTGTATAGCAAAAACTTAAAAAATCTTCTTTGAAAAAACCCAAATAGCTAGAGTTAAGATATTAAGCATGAAACATCTTCTAGTAAGTGTCTACAAAGTTTGTTCAGATAAAAGCCCTGGGGTCAAATTTGGCCCCGCCCCAGGGTCATTGATTTTCCTTATTTGTGTATAGCAAAAACTTAAAAATCTTCTTTGAAAAAACCCTAATAGCTAGAGTTAAGATATTAAGCATGAAAGATCTTCTAGTAAGTGTCTACAAAGTTTGTTCAAATTAAAGCCCTGGGGTCAAAACTGGTCCCGCCCCAGGGGTGTCATTGTTTTTATGTTTTATATGTGTACAGTAAAAACTTAAAAAATCTTTTTTTAAAAAACCCAATCAGCTAGAGCTAAGATGTTTAGCATGAAACATCTTATGGGTGTCTACCAAGTTTGGCCCTGCCGGGGGGGGGGGGAAGGACAGGGTGGGGGAGGGGGTTTGAGATCATTGTTTTTCATTATTTGTGTGTAGTAAAAACTTAACATCATGAAACATCTTCTAATGGGTGTCATCCAAGTTTGTTCAAATAAAAGCCCTGGGGTTTAAACTGGCCCTGCTCCGGGGGGCCTATATACAGGTGAGCGACCTCAGGGCCATCATGGCCCTCTTGTTATGCCCCCACAATGTGGGAGCATACAGCGTTGCACTTGTCCGTCCGTCCCTCAGTCCGTCATGTGTCCCGAAATCTTGTGAACGCAACTCCTCTTAAACCGGTTGGCAGATTTTGCTTAAACTTACAGGGATGAACAACCTTAATGTGTAGATGGTAGTAAAGGAAGGAATTTTCACTGCGACCAAATTTAACAGAATTATGGCCCTTTGTTGATTTTTTCACTAGATACTAAGTAGAAATTTTGTGAACGCAACTCCTCTTAAACCGCATGGCAGATTTTGCTTAAACTTACAGGGATGAACAACCTTAATGTGTAGATGGTAGTAAAGGAAGGAATTTTTGCTGCGACCAAATTTAACAGAATTAAGGCCCTTTGTTGATTTTTTCACTATATACTATGTAGAAATTTTGTGAACGCAACTCCTCTTAAACTGGATGGCAGATTTTGCTTAAACTTACAGGGATGAACAACCTTAAGGTGAAGATGGTAGTAAAGGAAGGAATTTTTGCTGCGACCAAATTTTACAGAATAATGGCCCTTTGTTGATTTTTTCACTATATACTATATAGAAATTTTGTGAATGCAACTCCTCTTAAACCGGATGGCAGATTTTGCTTAAACTTCCAAGGATGAACAACCTTTATGTGTAGATGGCAGTAAAGGAAGGAATTTTCGCTGCAACCAAATTTAACAGAATTATGGCCCTTTGTTGTTTTTTTCATTATATACTATGTAGAAATTTTGTGAACGCAACTCCTCTTAAACCAGATGGCAGATTTTGCTTAAACTTCCAGGGATTAACAACCTTAATGTGTAAATGGTAGTAAAGGTAGGAATTTTTGCTGCGACCAAATTTAACAGAATTATGGCCGTTTGTTGATTTTTAGTTTTCAACTTGTGGCACATGTAGTCCAAAAAATATTTGACCTAGAGTCATAAGATTGACAGAACAGTGGCGTGTGGGGGCATCCGTGTCCTATGGACACATTTCTAGTTTGCTTCTTTTTTTAAATTGACTACATCTTTAGCCAATAAAATTTAAGTTCAATAAATCCTGTGACTTAATTGATCTACAGGCGTTCTGTAACACTGATATGGTAGTCCTTCCCAATTTCTAGTTTTTTCTTCTGTTCTAATGCAACTACATGTAGATTCTAATCATGGTAGATTTTTCAGTCTTGAAATTTAAATTCAGTGGTTTTCGTGATAACATAGTTAAGGTCATGGACTTCAAACCACTTGCCCCTCAGCACTGTAGGTTCGAACCTCACCATGATTTTTGATGATTTTGAAAACGATCCAGCTATGATACTGAATGTTGATGATTCTACTCAGGTGCCCGATTGAGCCTGAAATAATGCACGGAGGGGCACCTGTGGCTTCATCTACCATTGGGTAGAAAGTGGCCATATGATCTCTACTCTGTTTGTGCTTTGTAAAACCCAACCAGTAGAAAAATAAAGAAAGTCAAATGCGTAATTTTTTCAATCTTGAAAGTCAAACTCATCTGATAAATAAATCAAATAAATTAAAATATCAATTGTTTGTTGTTATAAACAGTTTTGGGATACACAAGAATGGTAGAGTGTTAATAGCAGATGACATGGGACTTGGGAAAACGATACAGGCTATCTGTCTATCTTGTTACTACAGAGCTGAATGGCCGTTACTTGTTGTGGTACCTTCTTCTGTCAGATTTGATTGGGCACAGGTAAACATAACGTTTTTTTTTGTTGTTTTTTTAAATTCAATGTTTTTTAAATTCAATGTATCAGTATGCTAAGAGTGATTTTCCTTATAACTTTATAGTCTATTTTTACATTACATTCGAGCCGCGTCACAACAAAACCAACGCGGATGCGCAGGCTGGTCTGGATACATGCTGGTCTCAAACACATAACGTTGGTTTTGTCATGACACGGCTCATTTTATATGGACTCCATCACAGTGATAGTATGAAAAAAAGCCATAACACCAACTTGATGATGAATGTTGAGCAAAAATGATGTTGGTACGGTCCATTTTAACAATTTTATTATACACATGTATCTAGTTTTTTTGTTTTTTTTTGTTCTTTAGTTTAAACGTGGCGGAGTTATCTGTCTAGATAATAAAGAATTAAAATTTGTACAGTATAACCTGTGCAGAGCGACACTTTTGTTGTTTCTGAGGTGGTAATGGTGTTGGTAGTTTTCACTCCGGACCACGGCAGTAAGCCACATTGAATTAACCAGACCACAGTTCAGCAATCGCATTGTTCCTGGGCATGCTGTCAAACTATTTATCAGTACTAGTTGCTTTCACTTTCACAAGAAACTGATTACTTCTGTACATGCCATAGCAGAGGTGCAGTGTGATTGACTGTAGAAAGGATTTCATGATCAATCACAATGAATGTGACCTGCACCGTCCGGGAATCAAACCCGGGTCGCCTGATTCACAGTCCAATGCTCTACCTATCGAGCTAACTGGACGGCTTTCTTTAGAGGTGTTGCTTTAGAGAGGTTAAATTTATTGCGAATGTTTACTTTGGGAAGAAATATTACTGTAGTTGTTAAGAGGTAATTGCTTTGAGAAGTTGTTGCTGTGTTATTTTGTAAGCAATGTTTAACATACAAAAATGAGGCCTGTGTGAGGCCTGTAGTTTTAACTTAAACATCTGAATATTATTAAAAGTTATTACACAAAATCTGATAGCAAAAAGGTATAGAAAAATGCTTGCCGATAAGGAAAGTGTTTGCATGTATTTACGACCATACCAACATAATCATAGCCTTTGAGTGATATTTTAACCTTGTGAGATATTGCCCTGAACTTATTTACTGTAATAAATATTGAAATATGTGAAAAATACAGTGGTCAAGTTGTCTATACATGATACATGTTATCATTGTAAGAAGTATTTTACATATGGAATAATTCCTGGACTTTGTTTGTTGCCGAAAATGTTAACATTACACTGAATTTATAACTTTAAGAAACACATGTATGTCCTCTTACAAATTAGGTCAAATTCAATATTGTATGAATGTTTTATGCCAACAGTGTACATGTCTTTTTTTCTGTTTTTCACTTTAGTTTATACAAAATTTCTTACAGAACTTTCAGCGATGGGTTCCCTCCCTTGATCCACAGAGTATAAATGTTGTGGTAACAGGCAAGGACAGCTGTACTTCTGGTCTAATTAACATTCTTAGTTATGATCTGATGGCACGAAAAGCAGACGTCCTGAAAAACAAAAGATTTCAAATTGTCATCATGGTACGATAGTTGTTGTTATTTTATTAGCTCAACTATTCGAAGAATATGAGAGCTATTGTAGTCGCCCCGGCGTCGGCGTCAGCGTCCGCGTTGGAGTCTGCGTTGGTTAAAGTTTTTTGTAAAGTCAAATATCTCAATTATTACTTGAGATATTCAATTGAAACTTACAATACTTATTTATAGTAACAAGGTACATCAGATTGACAAGTTGGATAACTCTGCCTACAATATTGACAGAATTATGCCCCTTTTTAACTTAGAAATTTTGGTTTAAGTTTTTTGTAAAGTCAGATATCTCAATTATTGCTTGAGATATTCAATTGAAACTTACAATACTTATTTATAGTAACAAGGGACATCAGATTGACAAGTTGGATAACTCTGCCTACAATATTGACAGAATAATGCCCCTTTTTAACTTAAAAATTTTGGTTAAAGTTTTTTGTAAAGTCAAATATCTCAATTATTGCTTGAGATATTCAATTGAAACTTACAATACTTATTTATAGTAACAAGGTACATCAGATTGACAAGTTGGATAACTCTGCCTACAATATTGACAGAATTATGCCCCTTTTTAACTTAGAAATTTTGGTCAAAGTTTTTTGTAAAGTCAAATATCTCAATTATTGCTTGAGATATTCAATTGAAACTTACAATACTTATTTATAGTAACAAGGGACATCAGATTGACAAGTTGGATAACTCTGCCTACAATATTGACAGAATAATGCCCCTTTTTAACTTAAAAATTTTGGTTAAAGTTTTTTGTAAAGTCAAATATCTCAATTATTGCTTGAGATATTCAATTGAAACTTACAATACTTATTTATAGTAACAAGGTACATCAGATTGACAAGTTGGATAACTCTGCCTACAATATTGACAGAATTATGCCCCTTTTTAACTTAGAAATTTTGGTTAAAGTTTTTTTGTAAAGTCAAATATCTCAATTATTGCTTGAGATATTCAATTGAAATTTAAAATACTTTTTTATAGTAACAATGTACATCAGTTTGCAAAATTGCATCACTCTGCCTGCAGTAGTTGCAGAATTATTTGCCCCTTTGAAACTTAGAATTGTATGTCACTGACCAAGTTCCATAACTCTATCTTGCATTAAGGCTGATTCATATCCCCTTTTCTACTTTAAGTCTCTTGGTTTATGTTTACATGCAAGTTTTACATATCTCAATTACTATTAAAGATATTTATTAAAAACTTCACATATGCATTTAGGGTCATAATTGTAGGTCACTGACAAAGAGCCATAATTCTATCATGTATTTAGGCTGATTTTTCTCCCCTTTTTCAACTTAGAAATTCATGGTAAAGTTTTGCTTGTAAGCTGTTATCTCAATAACTACTGAAGGGTTTGTGCCTTTTTTGGGACACTTTTATGCATTCATAATATTAAAGCAGTGATTTACTTGATAAAACATCTTAATAACAAGCCTTTGTACCTTTTCTGTCAAATTTATGTATTCATAGGTAATTAGTATTTTTATACTCAATAAAACACCCTTGTGACATTACCTTCCGAAAAGTCAAGCCAATACTGTATAATTAGACTCTCTCTAAGGCCTATAACATGAATTTATAAAAAAAAATTAGCCCTTTTGTGAACTTAAAATTTTTTACATTATCAAGCACTTAGAATAGTCGAGCGTGCTGTCCTACCGACAGCTCTTGTTATGATTATAAAGTCTATTACATCGTCACTTACCAAGCCGAGTTTGTGTAATGGATTCGCCGTATTTTGAAATGGAAATATTTCGTTGTAAGTTTAGGGGATCTCAAATTATGAAAAATGATTGAGCAGCCAAAAGTACATGACTTGGTTGGATGTCTCTCATTGACAGATGGGCCTCACCCTGTATTGTACTTATAGGGCTCTAATTTTGTAGTAAGCACTTAAATATTCAAAACCTTAATTTTCTTCCTTGCCTTTAAATTATAAATAGATAATTTATTAAATTATAACCGGATAATTCATATAATGTATGTTTTGTGTGAATTCCAATATTTTAGATAGTTTATAACATGCAGTGTTAATTTAAGGACCATTTTTGTTTTTGTGAGGTTTGTCTATGAACAACCTTAAATTCATGGACAATCTCGGTGTTTAACCTTTTTTTCCAGCAAAATTTGTTAAAATGGACTTATAGTGCTTTGAATTTGAAGAAGTCTGTTGTGTATATTAAAGATTAAAATGTGAAATTAAAGTTTACCTACATTCAGTACAAATTCTGATCAGACTGTAAAGATATGCAGGTGTGTCAGGATTTATTATATCCTAGTGTCTTAGGCAAATTGTAATCACCTTTAACTACCAGAGAGACAAAGTGTAATAAATGGGGACTGATTTAAATGTTTGTAAGTTAACCCATGTTGTCATTCAAGTAAACCCCTGTTGTATTTGATTTAATTCAGGATGAGTCACATTTATTGAAGAATTATAAGACTGCAAGATGTAAAGCTGCCCTTCCTCTGTTACAGGTTAGTCAGATATATATTTCCATGTAAATTTTTATTATATGACTTACAATTTTTAGCTCACCTGTCAAAAAGTGACAGGGTGAGCTTTTGTGATCGCTTTTCTCCGTTGTCCGTCCGTCGTCCGTCTGTCGTCCGACGTCCGTAAACTTTACTTTAAATGACATCTCCTCATAAACCACTAAGCCAATTTCATCCAAACTTCACAGGAATGTTCCTTTGGTGGTCACCTTTAAAAATTGTTCAAAGAATTTAATTCCATGCAGAACTCTGGTTGCCATGGCAACCAAAAGAAAAAACTTAAAATATCTTCTTCTAAAAAACCCAAAGTGCTAGAGCTTAGATTTTTGGCATGAAACATCTTCTGGTGAGTGTCTACCAAGTTTGTTCAAATAAAAGCCCTTGGGTCAAAATTGGCCCCGCCCCAGGGGGTCATTGATTTTCCCTATATGCATATAGTAAAAACTTAAAAATTCTTCTTTTAAAGAACCAAAAGAGCTAGAGCTAAGATATTTAGCATGAAACATCTTCTAATGGATGTCTACCAAGTTTGTTCAAATAAAAGCCCTGGGGTCAAAATTGGCTCCGCCCCAGGGGGTCATTGATTTTCCCTATATACATATACAGTGTGGCCATACCACGTGACATTGACGTCATTTTCGGCATCATTTCCAAGACAAATGTTGCTCGATTCGGAAAAGAAAATAGCCGTAAATATTTTATTTCTCTACCAATTTCTTTGGGATATGCACCAGTCTACGGGGAAAAATGTAAGCTTTCCACAGAATATTGGATATTTGTCCGTTTATAAGACGTTTTGTCAAACACTTTGCATAACCTTGGAAGTTGCTTGTATCAGAGCGGGCTTCAGTTGCAAGTTATTTCGTTTTCTGGCGTTATCTGGTCTACGCCATGAATAAAAAGTCAGGTTTACACCAACCGGGAGTACGGATGGCAAAACTCTACCTTAATATGTTCATATTTTTATTATGAATGACATAAATCATATATTTTTCTTCAATTGTCAATTCTGGCACCAGTTCCAAGTCGAAAAAAAGGACTACAGTTTAAAGCAGATTTTAGAATCCGTTGCAAATGCAAAGCAACATGCCTACCGTTCTCTTTCTATAATTATGTTAACCATGAAACACATTTTATTTACTATACAATTTACATAAACACAAATTAATATTTAAATGATTTTTACTCGCTGCGCTATAAGTGATTTTAAAAGTCGTAAAATTGTTGTCTGTACTTGTAAAGAAATTGATTTGCTCTTTAATCATTGTTCTTTCACGGTAATGATTATGAAAAATCTATTTGTGTCATATCACAATACTAAACGTGGAATAGAAAACATAAACCCTAAATATCGCCCAAAACGGCAAAATTGAAAATGTTGATTGACTTAGCTAGCCTGTCCAATGAACGTGCACATTCAGGATCACTTCGATTTGTATGCTCTGAATAAGGGTTACGCCTCAACGCGGCAATTTTAAAGTAAAAAAAAGAGCTATTTATACGTATAACCATATACATGTATATATAAAGAACCTGTAGCAATGTTTTAGTATGATAGATTCAGATTTTTAACACAGTGGCACTCGTTGATAAAAAAATATTTTTACATCCTGTTTTCATACCCACGGTAACCGTTTTTCGTGAACTGGATATAACTTCGTTAACTTAAGAACACTATTAAATACTATCTATTTTATAATTGCATTTATTTCTGTTGATAAACTGCATATCTGACAAATTTAGTTAATTATATCAGTCAACTCAGCTTTATCAGAGAGCTCACCAATATACATTGTAAAGAGAGGAAGGGAACGGAATATTTATGGTTTGAAAAGATTTAAATTGAGTAGGACCTTTTTAACCATTATGTCTCTTTCAACTGAATAAAAAACGATAGGGCTATTTGGGACTATTTTTTATCGATGTGGTCATTGGCTGTAAATGCATGGATTATTACACGCGGCATGACCTGCAGATGTCCTCAACTGGCTTTTTGTAGCATTTTAAAATTTAAAAATGGACCACACATTAAAATCTAAAACAAGATAAGCATGACGCATATACCAAATAAGTGAATTATCTGATATGTAAATAAAGCAGAAAGTCATTTGACAGTTGAAGGATAAAAATTGAATATACTCTTCAAATGTAATCGCAATTTTTGTAAGCTTTGTCAGTGTCATATGGACCCTAGTCTTAGATCTTGCCGATGTTGCTATTACAGATGTTAATGTAAATATTTATATAATTATTGATAATCATTGTTATTTCCGTCTTTTTGAATGTTTTGTTTTCAAGAAATTTGACTGTGATCGATGGCTATTGGTTTGTAAAATCATTTATCTGTTTACTATTTTCTACTTTGTTTACTCCACATGGCGTCCATTCTCGTTCTTATTCATGGCTATTTTGGGTCTTTTTGATAAATAGAGAATCATAAGTAATGCAACTAAGTAACAATACTATCAGATTTACACGGCAAAGTTCCAAGTTCAAATTGTGATTTCGTTTATCAAACTCTATAGAAATTTATTATACAACAATTCCAGAAAAAATATAAACCTTTTAAAAGTCTCTCTTTTGAGGTCAGAAAAACCTATTTGTCACATTCACGAGTGTCATTGTTTGTCAGTAACGACTTTTTATTCATGGCGTAGACCAGATAACGCCAGAAAACGAAATAACTTGCAACTGAAGCCCGCTCTAATACAAGCATCTTTCAAGGTTATGCAAAGTGTTTGATAAAATGGCTTATAAACTGACGAATATCCAATATTCTGTGGAAAGCTTATATTTTTCCCCGTAGACTGGTGCATATCCCAAAGAAATTGGTAGAGAAATAAAATATTTACGGCTATTTTCTTGTCCGAATCGAGCAATATTTGTCTTGGAAATGATGCCGAAAATGACGTCAATGTCACGTGGTATGGCCACACTGATATAGTAAAAACTTAAAAAATCTTCTTTTAAAGAACCCAAAGAGCTAGAGCTAAGATATTTAGCATGAAACATCTTCTAATGGGTGTCTACCAAGTTTGTTCAAATAAAAGCCCTGGGGTCAAAATTGGCCCCGCCCCAGGGGGTCATTGATTTTCCCTATATGCATATAGTAAAAACTTAAAAAATCTTCTTTTAAAGAACCCGAATAGCTAGAGTTTAGATATTAAGCATGAAACATTTTCTAGTAAGTGTCTAGAAAGATTGTTCAAATAAAAGCCCTGGGTTCAAAACTGGCCCTGCCCCAGGTGTGTCATTGTTTTAAACTATATGTGTAAAGAAAAAACTTTAAAAAATCTTCTTTTAAAAATCCCAATGAGCTAGACCTTAGATGTTTAGCATGAAACATCTTCTAATGGTTGTCTACAAAGTTTGTTCAAATAAAAGCCCCGGGCTTTAAACTGGCCTTGCTCCGGGGGGCCTATGTACAGGTGAGCGACTTCAGGGCCATCATGGCCCTCTTGTCTCTTGTTGTGATTGGTTGAGACACTGTCACATGACAGTCTGTAGAAAGTCTCATTTACCTTACCTCTAGTTGTTGTTCATGTAAACATATCTGTATCATAAAGCCTGGCCAATTGTTAATGGCTTTATGGAATCAGAATTATGGGTACCAACCAACCATTCATGAACAATGTTGCTTAAGTTAAACATACAGTGTAAACCACAGTTTCAGACAGCTGTCTATCTAACACAAATGCAACATTGAAATGAAAAGGTGTTTGGCTTCCCATCCTGAGAAACATTTATGTCCTTCAGAAAATCCTTCATTCAAATGCTTAAAAAAACCTGTGGATTAAACTTTTTTGGTCTGCATATTACAGGGTTATTTGTCTGAAAACAGATTATCCATACATGTGATAAATTAAATGGGCCAAATCTGGATTTTCAGCTGGATTTTGAGGCTCAAAACTGGATTTTTTTATTGACTCGAATTTCAATGCGTGTTTGGCACATTTGGTTCAAAGAATCTACATTACCCTCAAAATCATTAAATGATTATACTTTTTATGATTTTTTTGTTGATCAATATTAATGTATTTCACCAAAAAATAAATAGATAAATAAATAAGTGTAGTCATACAGGCTATTTCTAAAACAGTCACATTTTCACATTTCATTATTTTCAGTTTGAAAAATTATATCTGTCTTTGCAGTCATACAATAATTGGCTAATAATTTAAAACACAAGCTATTTGAAAACGTGCAACAACTATTTATGAACATAAGACTCTGACAGTAAAAGTATTCGTATTCAAAATAAATGCAAGAATCGTTCCGTTAATTTAATCCACATTTTTGCCTCGATGATTGTGTAATTCCTAAACAAAACAAAAAAATTACCCACTCACTAAAAATAGGTTAATTAGACATGGTTTTGCCGCATCTCAAACAGGTTTTTGAATGATCCACTTTAAATGATTCTGCACACCTTTAATCTTTATCAGTGCGGCACTAATCAAAGAAAATCAAAGGTTGAGCCGAATTCATACATGTAAATTTACAGGGTCGTTTTGATGACGTAGCGTGTAATACCTACTGCCAAATTATAACAGGTCAATTGACTGGCACACAACATGTGTTAAGTTAAACATGTGAAAATAACTTTGGGTGATGGAACTGTTTATTACGTCACCTTGCTCAACATTGAATCCGCTATAATTTAGGATATGGACAGATAACAATCAATGCCTGGAGTTTAGATACAGGTGCTGTGTTTGATTTTTTTTATGTTGATTTTTTTTTGAATATCGGGAATTCAAGCTGTAATATCGGGAATCTGGATCAGTGTCGAAATATCGGGATTTTTTATGTGTGATTATCGGAGAATCTTATTTACCATATCAACAATTATATTCTGGTTCTATAGTAAAACAGTTACTATATGTGTAGTGGAATGCAAAAATGGGGCTTCTTGACGTTGACGTCGTTATCGAGAAAATGCGAGATCTTTGACGCCATTTTTTCCTCATTATTTTTCCGTTCGTCTGGCAGTAAAACAGCGCTTAATTATATAATAAATGACTTGTCAGCACATTGGATCCTAATTCATACAGAGTAATCAACGGCAAAAATAATTTGCTACCGTTCATCCTATGACAGCAAGTAAAATTATCACGGGAAAAGATTTTTACGAGGACCACTGATTACGTCATCTGACATTGATTGTTGATAAAATATTGGTGAATTGATTCGATGTTTTGCGGTGTTTTAAAGAATATTTTACACTGACAACGTCTGCTTTGACAAAACTTATATATAACTGGATTATTCGGGTTAGGTGAGTATTTATTTTTTCTAGTATTTTTGCTTAAATATGTATTTTATCGGAAAATAATTATACCCGGAAGTAGAAACAATTGCAGTTCCTGGACAACGGTTTGTTGATAGCAACATGGAAAATGGCAGCCAAGTAATTATTTACTCAAAGCAATTAAACCAATATTTATGTAATTAATCTCTTAGAAAAAACAATCATCAAAGTGAGGAAATTCAAGATTTTCAAGAATTTTAATCTTTACTTTCTTCCATGCATACTGTTACTGTGTACAGTACATGACTGTAATGATGTATGAGAATAAAAATTTGAGCTGTTGAAAACTTGTATCCCAAAAGTGAAAATATATCTCTGGCTCCATTGTTTGAGCTGTTTAAATTTTTCAGATCTTTAAAATTAAAAATATGGAGATGTTGCAGTTTCCATAATTTCTCATAACCAGAATCAATAAATGGAGGGTATTGAATGAGTGCATAGACATATATTTTTTCATTGACACAACTAGATTATAGTGTAACGCTTACATGTAGCATGTATTTACACTATGTTTCTGTAAGGCATATGATGTCACATCAAAATGTTTGTTCACACTTAGAAGCACATCAATGAATACCTAAGCCTGAACTTGTTTGAAATGATTTAACTAATATTTTAATTAAAAAAAAGTCACAGCCCTATGACAAGCTTTCTAGAAAGGTAACTTATTAAAGGAATAATATCTGCAGGTGTCTTATTAGCAAAACATGAGGACCTCAGGAAAATCTGTCTGTTCTATAAATTGTAAAAACTGTATATCAATAAAACATAATTTATAAATTTAACTACTGTACATTTCAGGCACTTCACCATGCACTCTTGATGTAAAGTACTCCAACCTTTGGGATTATGCCCAACAAGTGCACTTTTCCTATCATTCTCAACCGGTTGGTCCAATATGTTTTAGGATACCAAGAATTAAAGTTCCATGTGTTTGGTGTTTGTGTAGAGGGATCAGGTTAGTTTGCCCATAACATTTTTTGACATATTTTTTCCTGTGCATATATATTGTAAAAACATGTTTAAAAATATTATCAAGGTAGATCCTATATTTTTTTCTTGTCAGATGTGTTCCTTTGCCATGAATTTTATTATTATTCTCCTATGCCATAGTATTTTCAGTTACAAGAAGAATATTCAGTTACATATAATCTTAATTTTAAGTATTATTTACTTAAGTACTATTTATATCCTATGCAAACATTTTAAATTTCCAATTTATATGTATTTTAGGACTTCATGGAAGTGTCAGTCTCAACATGCTTGGTACTTTTATATCTGGAAAGTGAAGAAACAATGCAACAGGTTGCCTAAGTGTACTGTCCTGAAGTCATCAAGATATGGGCACAATATCCTACAGCTTATAGATGATCCAGAAAATCCCTAGGAAGTCATTTCTTAAGTTAAGCCCTCAAACTGTTATCCAAATACCACCATTTTTGTGCAAGTGCAATGGAGCCAAGTGTTATAACATGTAAAGAATATGTTAACTCTGTGGAGGTAAAAATGTATTTACAGAAACAATTGCCTCCCAGAGGTCTTTTACCTGAAGTACAGTAATGATGCAGCAAGACATTAGTATCTATTTGAACAAATTGGGCAGTTCTTCAAATCTGACATAGCTAAAATACTGTGTGGCCAAAACCAGTTATCCCGAAAACAGAAATAAAGTTGGATATTAACAATTATGTGAAAAAGGTGGAAGGAGAAAGAGCAGTCTTTTACTCTTGAGTATAACTGGAGTTCCTATAAAATAGTGGTCATGTATGGACTGTCATTATTTTCTTCATTTCAAATATAGCTTATGATACAAGTAGATGCTTCATAAGATAAGACTGCAAGTGTGTTGCATAACTGGTGCTCTAAGGACTAATGCTATATTAACAAGTGTGTGGATCATTGATGCATAGATATTATTTAATGGCTGCCTATATTATTTTTGGATGTCAGTTTACCAGTTACTAATTTCCATCATTTTTACAAAATGTTTATTAGATTAAGTTTAGTGTAATACAACATTTGTCATTTTACTCTAAGTTATAGAATTCTATTGAACCTATACATGTTATGAATTGATCAACTGTTAACTGATCTTAAGCTTTGATCTAGATTGAAAATGACTGTATGAAAATGTAAAGTAACATTAAGCTTCTGTACTTGTCAAATTTTAAACATTTTATAGTTGTAGAATATGAAAAATACTTTATCTATTACAATGATAGGTCAGTTGAATTTTTATGTTGATATTAGTGTAGAATCACATTGTAAATTATCACCAATCCTTAAAATTGTTAAAAGAAGCAGCAAAATCAAAGAATATTCAATGGTAGCTAGGCAACCAATATTCCCTTCAGTTGGGAAGGATTTTAAACAGGTGCATCATAATAAAAATACTTTATATGTTTGATCACATTGTAAATAATTGAAAAATAATCATCACTAAGTTGTAAAATATTAAAATATAGAACCTTAAATGTACCTGAAATAAATGTTGTGAACATGATATTAGAAGTATCATTTTTAATTTATATTATTAAGGAATGGTGAGGCAGGCTGTTCTCTGAATACCTTATTAAGTTCAGTTACACATTATTTGTGGTATTGTTTTCATTTTTTTATAATAGCACAAATTGCTATTTTTAACTAATTTGTAATCTTCTGTATGCCTGTAAAAATTTGGAAATTTATGAAAAAAATAATAATTATTCATTGGTTGCTAAGCAACCTAATTATATGCAGAGACAGTTTTAAGTAAGAAACATTTTTTTGTAGGAATTATCTTTATGTCATTTTAATTAAATATAATGCTAGTTAATTCAAAGTCCTTACTTTGTTGTGAAACAGTGTAGTTAACACCAGATGTTACTGAACATACTTTTATGAAATTATGTATATTATCTATATAAATTCAAAACCTATAGTAAAGTGAGTTTAAGGATACTTTGATCTAAGAACTATTATTATTTAAGATTGTATTTGCAGTTTTAATAGTTGTAATTTGTTTTTTGTAATCATGCTGCTTTGTTCATGGTATTTTGAGATCTTTTTTAATCAAACTTAAAATTTGTAAAATTTAAAAGGAAATTATGGAAGATATTGTGGTTGCTTGGCAACACTGATTAATTTTTACTTATTGCTTAGGTATTATGTAAATCAGTTATACAGCAGATAGATATATTTATGTAATATGGAAAGCCACAGTGATTTGATCAAATGCTTATTGGTTATTGTAAAACATACAGAGCAATATTCATGGCAAAAATACTGAGTTCTGCTAAAATTTGCATGACTTACTAACACTAGTCAAGTATACAGAACATGGATTGTATGTTATATCTTCAATGGAAAATTATTGACAAGTAATTAATAGGCATTGTTTATAATTTTATTGAAAATTTATTTATTTCTGCTGCTTTGTTAACTGTATTTTACCAAGAAATTTGTATATTTACAAAATAAATTACAAAAATTTAGAATATTCCATGGTTGCTATGTAACAGAATATAGCTTCCTTCATGTTGTATTTTGTGTAATTATGCCCTTTATTTAGTGTTACTACCTTTGATGATGTTATACTTGAGTCGTCTTTCATTTACTGTTGTATTAAACTGTTGTCTGCTGTCAGAGTAAATATCTGAATAAAGTTAATAAATGAATGATAAATGGACACTGTGTTTAGTTCTTTGAAGTTGTATTATGATATCTCTCAACAGTAATATGTCCTGTTAACACTGTAGAAATGCAATAGAACCATTTGCAAATGTGAAAGAAGAATATATTTTCTTATTGATACTTGCAAGTGTTATAAAATAAACCTAGCACACATAACTTTTTTACACGAAAAAAGGCCAGAAAGAAACCAGGAATAGGTCCGTTGCTAGGCAACATAATGTAAATGATGCTTTAATTATGGTGGCTGTATTCCAAAAATATTCTACAACATTTATTAACTTTAATAACATAAAACAATTTTTTCACAAAATTCATTTTAGCTTCAAAAGTTGTTTTCCTCATGCACCTTTAAACATCTCAAAGATCAAAGATTTTGATGTGTATTTTTAATTACTTACTGGACACCATACTCACAAAATTATGTATATCTTTGTAAATAAGAAAGACACGACCTTCAAATTTTCAGGAATTACTTCTGATATTTCATAGATTTAGAAAATTAAAAAAAGTGAAAATCAAAAATTTGGTCAAGAAACCCCATTTTTGCATTCCATGACACATATGAAGAATTCTGGTCTTGGCTAATGTGCTATTCACCTTGTCATCCTACAATAATTTTTTTATACCGGTATATACAATTTCAGTTCGTACATTTCAGAACGCCCGGCGTGTACTGTTGTTGAGTGGCACACCAGCTTTATCCCGGCCTTCTGAACTGTTCACTCAGATTGATGCAGTGTGTCCATATCTCTTCAAGTTCCATGATTTCGGTGTGAGATATTGTGCGGGAACAAAGGTTTGTATTTAAATACAATGTGAATGAAAATGCATAATAAATAACCTTTAACCTTTACATTCCTGGGATACACCTGTTTTACTAGTTATCATGATGATGAATAGGGTTTCATTTATAATTACATGTATTAAAATTGATATCTTGGGAAATCTTAGCAATTTATTATGTGTATAAAAATAAATATGATTTTTAACATAGTTTTTTGTCTGAAAGTGAAGGTATCTCAAAGTGATAGATTTATTTAATTTGTTCAAGTTTTACATGATTATTATTGCTTGATATGTTGTTCTTCAATGGGTCAACTTTACCTAATTTATTGTGTTATCATTTACTTGTATTTTAGTTACCATGGGGATGGGATTACTCAGGATCTTCAAACATGGCAGAGTTACAGATTGTTCTTGAAGAGAAAATTATGATTAGGTGATGATTAAATATTTATTACAACATAATTTGTATCATTTCCAAATTAAGCCCCCAAAAAAAATAAAATAAAAAAAAATTTAAAAAATAAGATACAATTATAACAATTTCATAGGTATAAAATATATGGTTTATATTAAAGGCTTAAGTTGTCAAAAGCATCAGATATGACACGCCTCCAGATGAGCCAAAATATTTCAAGAAAATCAATATTGAGAAATATATACATTTTAAGAAAGGTAAAAACATTCAAGATCCATGTTAAGTGCGGTTTAAAATTCTGCAGTATTTTATCACCATATTTCTACTGCGTTACTAACGCAGTAAGGGCTGTTTTTGCATAATTATGTTGATCACTTTTTGGTAATTTTCTTGGATTGTAAGTGCCAATTGCATTATGGAAATTACTTTATTTGTACACCTCACAATATTTTACTTTTAAATACATTTCTAAAATTTTCATGAAAATTGACATGAATCTGGAGGCGTGCTGCTTTAAAGCAAATAACAACACATTTTATCACTTGTATATGAAATCACATTCAAAGTTGATGTGCATTTTCTAATGAAATAACAAAAGTAGGCCTAAACAAAAGTAATATAAATATCAGTTTACAGTATGATTGTGTAGGAGTCTAAAAACTTACAGACACACTTTCCAATCCAATCCTTTAACTAGACAATGTTAAGAAATCAGTGCAAGCTTTCTTGTTCAAGTAACAATGTCTTGTGCCTGACTGTGTTTGAAACCACACAATCAGGAATCCTTCTATTCCTTGTTTGACATATTCGTATCTAGGTATTATCGCCACAAATAGTAATATCATATGTAGCATAACACATAAATCTTATTTAGTGTGTTTTATTTATGTGTTTTTTTTGTATGTATGCTGAGAAATTATAATTATAAAATAGGACATACATGTAATTAAATAATTAAATATATTATATTTGAAACATTTTCAGGCGTTTAAAGAAAGATGTGCTAACAGAGTTGCCAGATAAGATACGTCAGATGATTCTACTAGACCCAAGCTCCATTAAGATCACTAAAGATCTGAAGACCGCTTCCAGTACTATGGCTAGTGGAAACCTAAAGGTTAGAGTAGTAGACAAACTTTATATATACAGAAAATCAAACCATTTTTAGCTCGACTATTCGATAAGAATAAGTAGAGCTATTGTAGTCACCCGAGCGTCGGCGTCGGCGTAACCACTTATGTTAAAGTTTTTGTAATAGTTCAAATATTTTCAAAGTCCATTGACATATGGCTTTGAAACTTTGCACACTTGTTCACCATCATTACCCCAACCTGTAGACAGGAGGAGGTAACTCTATCAAGCATTTTGACAGAATTATGCCCCTTTTTCAACTTAGAATTTATGTTAAAGTTTTTGTAATACCTCAAATATTTTCAAAGTCCATTGACATATGGCTTTGAAACTTTGCACACTTGTTCACCATCATGACCCCAACCTCTAGACAGGAGGAGGTAACTGTATCAAGCATTTTGACAGAATTATGCCCCTTTTTCGACTTAGAATTTACGTTAAAGTTTTTGTAATAGTTCAAATATTTTCAATCTCCATTGACATATGGCTTTGAAACTTTGCACACTTGTTCGCCATCATGACCCCAACCTGTAGATAGGAGGAGGTAACTCTATCAAGCATTTTGACAGAATTATGCCCCTTTTTTGACTTAGAATTTACGTTAAAGTTTTTGTAATAGTTCAAATATTTTCAAAGTCCATTGACATATGGCTTTGAAACTTTGCACACTTGTTCACCATCATGACACCAACCTGTAGACAGGAGGAGGTAACTCTATCAAGCATTTTGACAGAATCATGCCCCTTTTTCGACTTAGAATTTACGTTAAAGTTTTTGTAATAGTTCAAATATTTTCAAAGTCCATTGACATATGGCTTTGAAACTTTGCACACTTGTTCACCATCATGACCCCAACCTGTAAACAGGAGTAGGTAACTGTATCAAGCATTATTTTTTACTATCAAGCACTAGAATAGTCGAGCGTTGCTGTCCTACCGACAGCTCTTGTTTAGCTCACCTGTCACAAAGTGACAGGGTGAGCTTTTGTGATCGCTTTTCATCCGGCGTCTGTCCGTCGTCCGTCCGTCCGTCGTCCGTCCGTAAACTTTTACTTCTAGTGAGTATCTACCAAGTTTGTTCAAATAAAAGCCCTTGGGTCAAAATTGGCTCCGCCCAAGGGGGTCTTTGATTTTCCCTATATGCATATAGTAAAAACTTAAAAGATCTTCTTTTAAAGAACCTAAAGAGCTACAACTAAGATATTTAGCATGAAACATCTTTTAATGAGTGTCTACCAAGTTTGTTCAAATAAAAGCTCTGGGGTCAAAATTGGCCCCACCCAAGGGGGTCATTGATTTTCCCTATATGCATATAGTAAAAACTTAAAAAATCTTCTTTTAAAGAACTTGAAGAGCTAGAGCTAAGATATTTAGAATGAAACATGTTCTAATTGGTGTCTACCAAGTTTGTTCAAATAAAAGCCCTGGGGTCACAATTGGCCCCGCCCGGGGGTCATTGATTTTCCTTATAATATTATGTATTTAGCAAAAACTTAAAAAATCTTCTTTGAAAAAACCCAAATAGCTGGAGTTTAGATATTAAGCATGAAACATCTTCTAGTGAGTGTCTACAAAGTTTGTTCAAATAAAAACCCTGGAGTCAAAGTTGGCCCCGTCCCAGGTGTAATTGATTTTCCTTATATTTGTATAGCAAAAACCAAAAAAATCTTCTTTGAAAAGAACCCAAATAGCTGGAGTTTAGATATTAAGCATAAACATCTTCTAGTAATTGTCTACCAAGTTTGTTCAAATAAAAGCCCTGGGGTCAAAATTGGCCCTGCCCCAGGGGTGTCATTGGTTTTAACTATATGTGTATAGTAAAAACTTAAAAAATCTTCTTTTAAAAAAACCCAATGAGCTAGAACTTAGATGTTTAGCATGAAACATCTTCTTTGGTGTCTACCAAGTTTGTTCAAATAAAAGCCCTTGGGTTAAAATTGGCCCTGCCAGGGAGGGGGGGGGAAGGAGTGAGGCAGAAGGAGGGGGGTAGATCATTGTTTTTCATTATATGTGTGTAGTAAAAACTTAACATCGTGAAACATCTTCTAATGGGTGTCTTCCAAGTTTGTTCAAGTAAAAGCCCTGGGGTTTAAACTGGCCCTGCTCCGGGTGCCTTTATACAGGTGAGCGACCTCAGGGCCATCATGGCCCTCTCTTGTTTTCCTGTAGAACTTTTCATTGCCAGAGGTTTTTGTTGGTTAATTATCCAATATTAGCCTGAGAGAAATTTCTAAGAATCTGTCAGAAAATTGTATGAATGATAGGTTTTTTACTATATAAAACTTTAACTGTTTTTGGAATAAAAACAAAGATAAAAATAGATTGCTGCATCACAACCTTATTCCACCAATGTAAAGAAAGAATAAAAGAAATCAAATTAATTTCAGATTAACTTTTTCTTGTCCCTAAAAAGGATAATCCCATCATGTTTGCATTTGAAGAGTTAAACAATAAAATTTTTGCAATTTACTTTGTCTTCTTTACATTAAGAAATGTCCACTGTTGATTTAAAGGGAATTGCATGATGCAAAATCTCCCTGAAAACTTCACATAAAAATGTTTTTTTTCTAAGAAATGATATTGTATAGATATAGAGATTAGTCTGTGAGTATTTCAAGTTTAACTCACAAAATTATACTAACATGCACATGTGACACTGAGTATTTTATTGTTTCAGAAAATGGAGGAAAGAGGGGCATTGTTAGATTTCTTCCATAAATCCGGTACAGCTAAGATGAAGGCAATAAAGTGAGTGTTATTTAATTGTTTGTGTTTTTCTGAATACATATATTCATCCATCTTTGACACAAAATTAGTGATTGAATTGAATAGCATTTAGAGGCATCTGTGGTCAAGTGGTTATGGTCGTTGACTTCAAACCACTTGCCCCTCACCACTGTGGATTCGAATCCGACAGGAACTTAGGGTTCATTAATGTGAGGAAGCTATCCAGCTAGCTTATAGAACATTGGTGGTCCAGTAAAGCTGGAATGTCACCATATAATCTATACCGAGTCTGTGTGACATTAAACCCAATCAAACAAAACATAGAATTGATAAATATATTATGAATGTTAAAATTATGCAGATTCTGTTTTATTTTGTTGTCGAAAATGTGACCTAGTTTAATATTACATCTGTTATATGTTGCTTTAACTCGAATAAATCTTTAAGTGAAAATGTAAAATTTAAAATTACTCACCCAAAAGAGAGAATGTTAGAATTTTTTTTGTTAAATTAATAATCTAAAATAATGCTCAAATTCTATCTGAATAACTACATGTAGATTTATATTCTTGAACACTATTATTTTTTATTTTGTTTATTATTTTAGGTCATATGTTGAAGACTTATTGGACAGTGAGAAAAAGTTCCTAATTTTTGCACACCACGGTGATGTACTGGACGGAATAGAAGAAAGTGTTAAATCTAAAGTAAATATATCTTAAAACATTTTATCTTCTTCATTGAAAATGACTTGAAAATTTATACAGCTTATGGGTTGTATGTAGATTTCTCAGAAGTAGGTGCAGTAATTCATCACTTTAAATTCAGAAATGACAAATTTGATACCATGTAACACTGAAGTAAAAATTTAGAATGTTAGATAAAATGTCAAAATTAACTTCTATTTTTGTTGTTGTTAATTCTATTTCAGATTAATTCAAATTGTGTATGTTCCTTTTCAGATTAATTCAACTTATATATGTTTATTTTTTTCCAGATTAATTCGAATTACACATGTTTATTCTTTTTCAGATTAATTCAAATTATATGATTGCTCTTTTTCAGATTAATTCAGATACACATGTTTGTCCTTTTTCAGATTAATTCAAACTATATTCGAATAGATGGGAAGACCATCTCGGAGCAGAGGAATTTCCTGTGTAAAAAGTTTCAGTTAAACGAGGAGACAAAAGTTGCTATACTGTCTATAACTGCAGCCAATGCTGGGCTTAATCTCTCATCAGCCTGCCTTGTTGTCTTTGCTGAGCTCTTCTGGAATCCAGGGGTAAATAAATAATTTACATACTTCAATGTGAATTATTATTAAAATGTTTTAGCACTCCGTAGGCTCAAAGAGCTCAAGGGTGAGTTTTTGTGATCGTTCTGCGTCCATTGTGTGTCCTTCAAAAAATGGCGTCAGACTCTTAAAACAACAACTCCTCCTATACCAATAGGCCAATTTTGTTAAAAGTAAGCAAGAATGTTCCTTAGATTTTATATCTGCTTTTGTTTATAGTTTACAATATAACTTTTTTCTTGTCATGGAGAGTATTCAGGTGAGCAAAGCAATATTAGGGCCATCATGGATCTCTTGTTTTGTTGGGAGATGCGAATGTAAAAATAGATAAAACTTTTAAAGGGGAACAGACAAGTTAAGCAGTGTATATATGGAAAGTTTTGTGTCTTATTTCTTTACTTGAAAACAGAATATAATTATGAATTTATGCTTTCAAGCCATAATGAAGTAAACTTGGTTTCAATCTCAAAATAATATCTGTAGATCTGACTAAAAAGCTGACTTCTTCAAAAATGGAACATATATTCCCTACCTTAGGACTTGTTGCCCTAGTCCCCTTTTAGATACAATGTAATTAGTGCTCTGAAATATATGTAGTACATGTTCTTTAAAAAAAATGGAGGGGTTAGAAATTTTTCACACGTGTGTATGTAAGGTAAAGTATAAATTTTCCACCAGAATCACATGCAATATTATTTTCAAATTTTCTTGTCCAGATATTGGTTCAAGCTGAGGACAGGGCTCACAGGATTGGTCAACAGGATATGGTAAATGTCCAGTATCTTGTTGCCAGGGGAACCTCAGATGACCATATTTGGTAATTGTTTCATACTACTTATCATGTGTTTTATTAGGTAAATCTAAGCAAAAAAAAAAAAAAAAGAAAAAGACAAAAGAAATGTACTATGTAGCTTTTCTTCATACATTGTAAATGTTTGATTAGATTTTTTATGAAGCACATGTTTTGTTATTATTGCTTAAAAGGGGAGATAAATTGTAGAATATTTAGGTTTTATTTTCTGCCTGTGAGTTAATATTTACATCATTAATTTATGAAAATCCAGCATATTTGATTAGTGTCTGTGAGCTACGAAGATCCAGCTTTCCTCAACTGCTGTTTGTTTAAATCCTGGCAGGGATTTTGTACATGTGATGAAGCTATGCAGCAAACTTAAGGATTATTGTTGGTTCTTCTCTGATGCAGACTTTAGTATGAAATAAACCAAAAGCTTTACTTATGATTTTACTGAACCATACCTTTAACTTAAAAAGAAAAAAAAACAGTGAATATAACAATGAGTAACAAAAAAATCTTGTTCATTCACAACTCATTAAATGGCTGTCTTAAGTTAAAAAACTGAATTTATTACATAACTTTATAATAGATGGCATATATATGAATGAATAGAATAACACAGTGTAAATTGAGACATTCAAGATATGGTTACTTTTTGCATGATAAGGAAAAATATATTTTTTATGTCGTAACGTATAGGCCTATGATACAGAAGAAGTTAGATGTTCTCGGTAAAGCAGGTCTCTCAAAGGACAACTTCTCCTCCGCAGAAACTACAAGACTTACGGTACGTTCTTTATAGCAATTACATTATCACATTTTATGTTGTAAGTAGTCTTAGAGAAATGTTCATTTAAATTTTGAGTGTAATTATACAGAACAATCGTAGATGATTACGCCAAAAATGTCCTTCATCATGTGTCAGCATCAGTTAAGAGATAATAGTATTTCATACTCTACACAGACAACTGAAGAAGTGCATATTGTCCTGTCTATTGTTCTGCAGACAACTTCTGTATTAGCCTAAATAGTATCCTTTTATAAGCTATAGGTTCCATAAAATAGACAAACATATGCATGGCCAAAAGCTTCGTTTTTATTTATGTAAATATGACCTTTACCCTTTGTCATTGACCTTCATGGTCAAATTAACACATTTAGTTTTCCATAAGCAGAATGATTAAAATTAAAAAAAAGTTGTTTGACATTATTCAGAATGAAAAAATGTGATTTGACATTGTGTTTACAAGGTCATTGAAAAAAAAGTCTCGTTGAGAGTGCAATAGAATAAATGATTTTTCTTAATGAGATATATGAAGTATAATTGTATTTTCTCAGCAGAAGACAGGTTCTCTGTTAAAGGTCAGAGTTAAATTCTGCATTTAAGTATTGTAAGTTCCCATTCAGCTATTACTTTAGTTATTTATGAACAGATTCCATTCTTCACAGGACAGTAACCATGCCACGAGTTAGTCTTGTAAACTAGGTAGGACTTATGATAATAAATGGTCAAGTTTTTAGTTGTGGTAGGGCTTTAACCACAAGGACATTTGAGTGTTTATTTGTTAAAAATGCTTTTTTTTTTTGTAGTACAGTCAAACCTGTGAATAAAGGCCACTGAAGGGAGAGACAAGTAATGGTCTTTATAGACAAATGGTCTTTATTTTGAGGTTACTGTATTCCATGTTATTAATGAAAGGTTATCAAAATGTTGCCTTTATTTGCAGAGAATAACATTATTCTTTATCACAGGTTTGACTGTACTATAAAATATGATAAACATTGGGTCTCATAGGACTGAAATGTAGAAATATATTAACTTGTTCCAGGATCAAAGACAAGAGGAGATAACTAAATTCCTCGAAGAGTCATTTTGTGATGATGAACTTACTTCCCTTGTTGAATGTGATGAAGAACTTGATAGTGAAAAGACACCAAAGAAAGGTATCCCTTGTTTTGTGATCTATTGGGGTTTTTCTATTTTCTTTGAGTTATTTCTGTATTTTTTACCCTCCCCTTTCTAACCAATTTGGGTTTTAAAGCACGAGTTCATGTATTTTACCCAAAATTTCTGACCTTCATTGTAGACTGTTGTAAGTTTTGTATAGTAATAAAAAAGCTACTTACTACTATGCTTTATGGTTTATTTGCCTAGGAGATTTCCAAGCTGCCTTATATAATTTAAAGGTTAAAACAGTCTGAAACAGTATGATCTTCCTGATGTACGGCGTTAAGTATCACTTACGTCTTTACGCACCTGTTCCAATGTAGTTTGCATGAATAAGAATTTATTTACTTTTTCTTACCCTTAGTTATTATTTCTTTTGCGTTTTTTGACATTCTAATTGGGTAATTACGCAAATACGCTTGTTATCTGCAGCCCTGTCTTTGTATAATATATTTTGAAAAAAGTTTATTCAATAGAGAGATAAGAGGGAGGGAGAAAAAACTGTTTGAGTTTAATTCAAGAGGTCTAACACACATTGGTTGTGTTTGTTTATAATCGTGATGTTAAAATATTATATTTCATATTTGTTATCTTGGATGGATAATGGTTTTGATTTATGGTAATGTTGAATGCTTTTTAATATGTCTATTTCTGTTTACTAGGGAATATTGAAAATTATATAAACATTATATATATGTTTATGTAAACAAATCAAAAGTTAATTTATTCTTTTCAGTATTAAAACAGTCCAGTATTTTGAAGTATACATCACCTGCTAAAGATATAGAAACATTTCATGCACTGTGTACCCCACCAAAAGACAATAAACCATCAGGCCTGTTCAAATATTTCTCACCACAGAAAAATATGAAGACCAGTGACAGAAGTAATGACTGTATGTTAAAGTCTGAAGGTCAAAGTTCAAAGCAAGGTGAAGGTCAAGATGATGATGACCTTGAGAAGTTTATGATGGACAGTGATGAAGAGTGGGTGGGGGATGATGAGGAACCTGTTGTAAAGAAGAGAAGAACCTGACATTATAGAAAATGTGTTGTGATAGAAGTTTGATGTCTTTCATAGTGCTATATGCATCTACTATGTGTTCATTATTTAACTTGCTAATATCGTGCTATATAATTATAATATTGTATTGTGTTCATTATTTTACTTTCAAATATTGTTCTTTATATATTGTATTAAGAATCATGAGTATTATGGGGTTACCTGTTTGAAAATAAACTGGCCTCATAGATTGTTCATTTATTGTTGCTGCTGCTTTATTGATGCTGAATTCAATGATGAATATATCCTGTTTATGGAATGACTGTACAAGTACAGTGTATATGAGATAGGTCTTTAAGCCATATCATAGATTACTCATTACTGTTGCATTCATGCTTTTATTAGAGGATAGATAAATGATATATATATATATACATTGTACATGTACGTACATGATCGTTCGAATGATTAGTGTATGGAAAAAAAGATATTATTTTACCCCTGCAAATTAGTTTTTACTAATATTTCATATCGTATTTACCTTTCTGATATTACATTTTTTGACTAGTAATGAATGTAAATCGCAAATCTGTCATACCATGTATGTTCAAATGTATTGCACTTGTTTGAAATGTTCTATTCCAATAATATTGGAATTTATTCTGGTAATTTGACCCGTTCAGTGGCAATCAACTTACATTGTGAAGAAAAAATGTTTGTAAAAATTTTAATACATTTATCATTGAAGAAATCATTAAGTTATTATAAAGCTATCAATACTGATTAATGTTAAGTTGATAGACCCTGATTCAGCAAATTTTATGTTCATTTAATTTAATGACAGTTTTTAGCCTAGAGACCCAAAGGTGGGCTTTTGTGATGGCAAGTTCTTCTTGCTCATTGTTACACTTTATCTCCTGTACAACTTGGTCATTGGTTTTGACCAAACTGCACAAGAATGTTTCTTAAATGGCCCCCTACAAAAACAATATAAATTAAAGTCTCGCGCACATGTAGGTCACAGGAGCTAGAAATATTTAAAAATGTCCAGAGGACTTTATGGCATGTAGCATCACTCTTCCATAGTTTTAAAAATTTTGTGCCCAGGGTCAAAATTTACCCTGTACTTGTTTTAACATTGACTTATGTAATATATTGACTCGCTATTGGTCAGCTAGTATTAGCCACTAGCTGATAAGCCCCACCTAAATTCACCTGGCATCACCTCTATGTAGGATCCTTAGTAAATAGATTTAGTAACCAGACGGCTGCGTTGTTTAATCTCTCTACCCATGCTTGTCCAGTAACTATGTTATAGCAGACATTACAATCTTATATAGAAAAACAGGTAGATTTTCATGTATAAAACTACATTGCCCAGAACTTAGATTGGCCTAGTAGACTTCTAATCAACTTGCTAAATTGGCTTGAGCTAAGATATTTGGCATGTTGTGTCATTACCTTGTTGTTGTAAATGACAACCCGGTTAAAATAGGTTCTATCCTGTCCTAGATATTTAGCACAATTGTTTTCTAGTGGACCTTTACAAAAGTTAAATTAATCATGCCTCAACTGGCCCAATCAACTACTTCTGCATTGAAGAATTATAAACTTTTCTTGCAATTTCAGGCTTTTTTCGTAGCCAGTTTGGGAAAATGTACCTAGCTCAGTTTGGGAAAATTGTTTGATTTGGAAAATTATTTTGTACCTTTTGAAACCTCTTTCATAGCATTTTGAATTTTGCGACACTGTTTAATTTTACCAATGCAAATATCAACTGGATTGTAACAAATACAGTATAAAATAAAATTGACAATAGAATGTGAGGAAACATCTGTCTATTATGGTACGGGAGTGAACTTCAACAAATTTGTTTCTTGATATTGGGGATATTTCAGTTTGATTGGAAATTTCTTTAAAGATTAGGAAAAAATCAGTATATGACACTATGAAAAGGCATGAGCCAATGAACCTCAGATAAGCAATCAAGACTTGTTGCTATTGATAAAAGTTAAAATACTCCAAACTATCAATTTTTAGTGAAACACTTTTATTGTTCTGATTTATGCAATGATTTAGTCAACACATGTAATATGTTTATGGTTTTATAATTGAATAAATTAGTTTAACAATTTTCGAAAGTTTTTGTTATTTACTCTAATGCTCGACCATTGTACAATTTGTGGCAATGGGTTCTGTATCACTCAAATTAATGAAGTTGTGAATAGTTGCACATTGTCAGGAGAAAATATTCAGTAAGATGCAGCCAAAAAAGCTAAATCTTGGCATTTTTACATGAAACATTATCTTGTAGACCTGTTCTTAGTTTGTTCAAATTATATCATAGCTTTTCCTTATATAGTAAATGTTCCAAAAAACTCATTGAAAACTGCAAGAGGCAATATACATTGTCAGGTGAACCTCAACAAAAATTATTCAAATTTTAGTCCTGGAGTGAAAATTGGCCCAATCCCAGGGATTTTCCTTATACTTGACTTCTCATAGCAACCAGTGACTTCCATGGTAATCATTGATTTTAATAGCAACCATACATTTCAATAGCAAATACTGACTTTCCATAGCAACCAGTGGTTACCCATAGCAATCAGTGACTTACATAGGAATCATTTACTTTCCATGGCAACCAGTGACTTCATAGCAACCATGGTTTCCATAGCAAATCATTAACTTTCTATAGCAACCAGTGACTTTTCTTAGCAACCATTGACTTCCAGAGCAACCAGTGACTTTCCATAGCAACTAACTTCCATGGTAACCAGTGACTTCCCATAGCAACCACTGTGTATCATATCAACAATTGCTTCCATATCAACTATTGACTTTCCAAAGCAATCTGACTTAAAAATCACCCAGTGACTTTCCATAGCAACCATTGACTTCTATAGCAACCAGTGACTTTCCATAGCAACTAACTTCCATGGTAACCAGTGACTTCCCATAGCAACCACTGTGTATCATATCAACAATTGCTTCCATATCAACTATTGACTTTCCAAAGCAATCTGACTGAAATAGCACCCAGTGACTTTCCATAGCACCATAGCAACCATTGACTTCTATAGCAACCAGTGACTTTCCATAGCAACCAACTTCCATGGTAACCAGTGACTTCCCATAGCAACCACTGTGTATCATATTAACCATGGCTTCCATATCAACTATATACTTTCCAAAGCAATCTGACTTAAATAGCAATCATTGATTTCCATAGCAACCATTGCAACCATATACTTCCATAGCTACCAGTGACTTCCCATAGCAACCAGTTTCTCACATAGTAACCATTGACTTTCATAGCAACCAGTGACCTCCATAGCAAACCACTTTCAGTTTCAACCATAAACTGCTTTAGCACCCAGTGACTTTCCATAACATTCAGTCACTTGCCATAGTAAGCAAAGCAACCATAGACTTTCCATAGCAACCATTGACTTCTTAAGCAACCAATGAATTTCCATAGCAACCATTGATTTTCAATCAGAACCATCAACTCTTCATAGCACCTGCTTGCTTTCCATAACAACCAGTGACTAATAGCAACAGTGAGTTTATAGCAGCTTTCGACTTTTCATAGCAAACTGTAAATTTCAGTAGCAACCAGTGACTTACATAGCAAACATGGACTTTTTACATAGTAACAAGTGACTTCTATAGCAAACATTTACTTTTCTTAGCAATGAGTGAATCTACCATTAAATTTCAAAGCATTCAGTGACTTGGAAGGAAACCATTGATTTTGTATAGCAACCAGTGATTTTTGCTTTCCTTTACCAAAAGCAACCAGTAATGTTTGACACATGTACTAATTCAGAGACAAATAGGAACTTTATGATATCAGTTTAAGATTTAGATTTTAATCTGCTTTCGCTTATAGTTTACAATATTACTTGTTCCTTGTTATTTATTTATATTTAGGTGATCAATATTGGGGCCATCATAGCCCTCTTTTTTATTTTTTTATCTTGACAGGAAAATGTTTGTTGAGGCAAGCAAAAGAAACTGCTAGCCTGATCTCAAAATAATTTCGCAAGAACATTGTTTAACAGCTGTAAATCACCAGCATCAAATTGTCCCCACGATCATATTGTCATGAAATCATTAAACAGATTTTGTCCAATCATTACAATCTCTATGATCACCATTTGGTTCAAATCGGGTAGTATAATTGTTTGTTTGTTTGTTTCATTTCACTCCTTTTCCCCAACAGTATTTCAGTCATATAGGCGGTTAGTTTCCTAACCATCGCTCCTGGAGAGTCACACCAGTACTAGACTACCTTCCTCCGTGCTAAACTACCAAAGCATCTCCCGGGGATCGAACCCACGCCAGAGAGATAACTGGATTAGAAGTCATCGACTCTAACCCCTCGACCATGGAGGTGGTCCTCGGGTAGTATAAATGTTGATTGATGTTTGGTTTTAATGAACTATTAAAAATCAACCCTCATCATGCTAACTTTGAATAGTCCTGTCTGTCAGGGGTAAGCCTTTGATTCCTTGAGCAAGAAACTTTATTCTCATTGCTTAGTACAGGTTGGTTCCAAGAACTGATTTGTAACAATAAGCTTAAAGCTTCCAACACAACCTAAAATAGATTAGTATAAAATAAACTATTTGTCCTGTATTGAATTTGGAAATGTGAGGGATTTTTATGATAATATGCATATATTGTATGTTATAAATGATTTACCTCCCTTGGTATTAAACCTATAGTTAATTCATCAGAATATAATTTATCAAAATAACACAAACCATGGATTCAGTCACTGATCAATTTAATAGTACTACATATATAATAATAATAATTTAACACAGAAGAATCATCATTCTGACTTCAGAATAACAAGTTTCTTACATAATATAATGCCAGTTACAGTATTTTATTTTTTCTGAATTAAAATCAAGATCATCAAGTCATCCATTTTCATTCATGTAATTCTGCAAAGAGATTTTTCCATTTCCATTGACAATATTGAATAATTATTTTAAGTTGTATAACAATAATCCTAGGAATACACTTTCTGAGTTTATCATGTATCATTTATACACAAAATCTTATCCCTTCTCTTCATAACTTTCATTTCTTCATCTTAGATAAAATCAGTTCATTTTTCCGACATTCCTGAAAAATAATAAGAAGCATTCAGTTTTTAGTTAAGCAAACTGGATATCATCTAATACTTGATACATCTAAATGAAAACAAGAAACAAGACTTGGACAGCACACTCAACTGTTCTCTTGCTTGATAGTAAAACAAGAGCCTGGAAAAATAGGTTTTGACAAAGAGGAAGATTTCATGACATAAACTGACATACATGTACTTCTGAGTCTCAAATAAGTGTGTTAAGTTACATATATATCTTAAGTGGTTGATGAGATATGATTGTGCATGTAAAACTTTAACAAAGGTGTAATGCTGCCACCAACTTACGAAATTTAAGATTACTGGTATATAGAAACTAGTTTGTAAAGAAGAAGATATCTGTAAGAACACCATTTTCTTTCTATCTGTTAAGAATCATTATCTGAAAATCATTGATCCTCTTCAAGCATAATTGTACTTTCAATACATTTAATTGAAAAAGTTTTAACAGTTTTTAATAGCATACCTCTTGGAAATCTTTAACAGTTTTAAAGTAGAGACGTTGTTTCTCTATAAGATCGAGGTAAATATCATTAAGTTGATCCCTTTTCATCTTCTCCTCTTGTTTCTTCCTTTCTACCTATATAACATACATTGAAAAGGTAGTGAATATCACACTTCTTATATAACATATCACATTATCTATATGAATAGTAAATATCACATTACCTATAAAACGCAAATTGTAGGGTAGTGAATATCATATTATATTAATACCGCAGTGAATGGTAGTGAATATCACACTTCCTATTTATAACAATAATTAACTTATCACTCTACCTACTACTACTGAAGGATTGTTATTACTTAATATCACACTACAAAAATACATAGTAGTGGCAGTAAATATCACACTTCCTATGTAAAGCAACAGTTTACATATCACACTTCCAATAACAATAATATCAATCTACCAATATAGCATAATACTGAACGGTAGTGAATACCAAACTAACCTTATGACATAATTATATGTATGCTGAAACATGATGAAAATTGCACTGCAAATAATCGTAAATGATCTATGCGAGTATCTTCAGAGTATGAAAAAACTTTTCTCTATTTTCAAAGTTTAAGATAAATCACTTTAAAAGGTATACGAGTAATTCTGTATCTTATGAAATATTTTCATAAAAATCTATCAACAGTAAAACTATATTGGTTCCATTATTATATGGTTGATTCCCAAAAAAGTTGTAACATGTCTCTTGTTATTTAACATACATGAATATTATACGTAAACAGAATAAAATGTTCTGGAACAAAATATTATTTGCTATTTTAAGTAGGGTTTTATCCATTTTGCAATGATTTTGTGCCTGCTTTAATAGCTTTTAAGGCAATTATCTACCATGTTTATTTCATACAAGCATTTTGGAAGTCTTCTTTTTTGAAATTAAAAATATTTTTGCAGCAGATATAATATAGCTTGATACACTTTATATCTTTGGATTATTTTTTCTAAATCAAGATGAACTATCAATGTTGATTTCTTCTAACTGAGAAGAAAATTACCTTTGCTTTATTATTTTTCACTCCTTCCACAATCTGTTCAAATTGTTTCAAGAATTGTTCTTTATTGGCAGGTGATGACATAGCTCTGTAAAATAAATATTATTTCCCCAGTTTTACACTTATACAGACAAATGAATACCATTTTTGTTTGTTCGTTAAGTTTTTACTCTGATTTAGATTTATTTTTTGTTCTATCTTGAATTCAGTCCACCTAACTGGCTTTCCCTGATATCTAACCGTAACTGTAAATTTCTTGCCAATTGAGTTTTATATTTAGTACTTTAAATAATATGTAAAACAACTAGATCTACATAAAAAATTGTGAAAAAAGGAAATTAGAGACACTAATATGAACAAAACTAGAAATACAAAACATAATATTTTGATCAGATCTGTCCAAGATGCAAGCTAATCTCAATGACATTTTTTCAATAAGAAAATTCATAAGTCACTATAATTAGTTTCCAGTATCAAGAACAGACTCCAGACAATGTCACCAATAACTCACATAAAGCACAAAGTGGTTATAATGTGTCCAATATAAATACTTTGGCATTAAAAATTTCGAATGAAAAAGAAGACCAGTCTATAATGTTACAACCTATAAGCTAGGAGATACAAAGGTTAACCTAATCAAAAGACAAATGTAGGAAGTTTTCGCTAAGGTGAAGTTTTAAGATAAAATTAGACAAGTAGAATCTAATACTCACTGAGAAAAGTTGTCATATATCGAGTTCAGCAAATTGACCTGAAAAATATTCATATATACATATACGTACAAACATGATGAATGGTCTTCACTATTTGCAACATTTTTAGACAATAAAACAACAATACATAGTAACAATTTCTAAAGACGCATCTTCTAACTCAGACCAAAAGTATTATTCTAGTTAACTGACCATTTTGGGTATTTATAGACACTTTGTGTTTGAAAAAGAGTTCTGTTCAATAACCCATAATTTGCTGGAACAGAAAATAATATACAGCCAGGCCAGCCTTCACACCTGTGCACTCCAGTCTATGTGCTGTTGGCTGTCTTAAACTTTATATTTTTATCATGAAATCCCTAAAATTGATAACGAACCATTCAAAAGACAGACAACTGTATAGTTTACAATATTTACCTCCCTTGCCAAAAGTGGCAGTCATTTTGGGTGTTAGTTTTCTATATAATTGACAAAATATGGAAAAAGAAACAACAACAAAAAACAGCTGATCAAGATGAATTGTTTAATAGCATACATATAAGGGAATATATTATTATAGCCAATATGTAGAAGACTTTTATCAGTTTTCATATATATGATAGAATTATGAGAATTTTTCATCTTATCCAAGTCATATAATACATCATATTGGGAACAACCCTCAAAATGGTGGCCACAGGAGGTAATAATTGCTATGTGAAAAGCATCCATATAAGTAATTTCAGCAGGAAAGGGGAGAGAATACAAAATGTACAAATACTCTCAACAATAATGACCTGCCCATGCCTCCAGTATAGAGCTAGACCAACTGGTTATACCATGCAATCTAATAATGTTAACCTACCTCTTTGTTTAAGTAAAGTTTAGTATCATCCAATGTGTTGTACATGGTATAGAACTGCTTTGTTTCCTTATGTGTAGAGGCCACTGGAAATAATAATATTAACACAAAAATGAAAAAATCTAGATTAACACATTAGTTTTGGACAATTGAAAGTATTTTTTCAAACATATATTTCTAAATAAATGAATTTAATGGAGTTAATATGACAAAACATGTACTTGCAAGAATAGAATTGTTATAATAGTACAATTATATAATTATTTAAATATTAATTTAGTTGAGTAACAATTAATTTTAGTTGAGTAACACTTATTTCTAATCTTTTTTTAAAGAACTTTTTTTGAACCTTGGTGGTATTAAGAAGTGAATTGCAAGTTTGCAATTACAATTTGTTAATTTGCAGTTACACAGACAGACAGTTATTTCATTTAAAATTTAATCACTGTTTTAATCAGCTGACATACACAATTTATTTTTTCGTTTAGGTTTTCTGTGTGAATGATCATAGATGATGAATATCCATTGAATTTCTATAAACCAATGAACAAAACTGAGGATATATCAAATTTAATAATCATCTTTTTCATATTAGTGGTAAATATTAATTGATCATTGGCTCATACGCACACAATACTGGTTTTAGACAGGATGTCAAATGATAATTTGTAAAATGTTATTACAAATAGAGAATTTTTAACACATATGAAAATCCCAATTGGTCATTTTTCACAGTTAAAACTTATCTTTCTTCAAAAGCAGTTGATAGGTGGAACCAAAACAACTGATCAACTACCAATGACTCTGTGTAACTGTGGTGTTATAGGAGATACAAACTAAACTGGCGAGCCTAACAATAAAAAGACCAGGAGACTAAATATATGACCCACCTTGATTATACAGCTCTACCAGTAGACTAAATATATGACCCACCTTGATTATACAGCTCTACCAGTAGACTAAATATATGACCCACCTTGATTATACAGCTCTACCAGGAGACTAAATATATGACCCACCTTGATTATACAGCTCTACCAGGAGACTAAATATATGACCCACCTTGATTATACAGCTCTACAGGAGACTAAATATATGACCCACCTTGATTATACAGCTCTACAAATATATGACCCACCTTGATTATACAGCTCTACAAATATATGACCCACCTTGATTATACAGCTCTACAAATATATGACCCACCTTGATTATACAGCTCTACAAATATATGACCCACCTTGATTATACAGCTCTACAAATATATGACCCACCTTGATTATACAGCTCTACCAGGAGACTAAATATATGACCCACCTTGATTATACAGCTCTACCTACAAATATATGACCCACCTTGATTATACAGCTCTACCTAGACTAAATATATGACCCACCTTGATTATACAGCTCTACAAATCTTCTCTGGTACTGACTTAGCTCGGCTCGTGACGGCACCTCGTCAATCTTCCTCTGTAACGCAGCTATCTCACGATTCTTTCTTGCCTACAATAAAACAATAAAAACAATGTTATGAATAGCATTATGCTACATAATTTATATCAACATCCTAAATAAACACATATAATTTTAAACTTTTAAAACAAGACAAGAACATAATACACAAATGAATCCCTTAACAGTCAATTAAAAAGCCGAGTTATGATAAAATGTCCTGAAGTATGAAAATTTAATGTTTGTGATGATGTTCAAGTTTCAAATAATCAAAACGGAAAAATCCAGAGAGGTTTGTTAAAACTAAAATTTAACACTCTTAGGTGTCAGCAACCAAACAGACAAACAGGACAAAAACAATTCAACCCTAAATTCACAGATGTAGGGGTATAATACTTTAAGTTATATAATGTTTGACACCATACATAAACAATACAGAAGAAAATTATAATTCAAATTATGCTTCTTAACATACAGCAAACTATTGAATATCCAAGATTCTAACAAAATCATCTACGGATTGAACATATAACAAATTAAAAACTACAGAAAATAACAAATATACACATGAAATTTGCTTTCAAGCATTAATAAACTTTTTTCGTAGCTTCATGTTTTACCTGATTTAAACCGCCACCCCCAATTGCAATAGTCACCTTACATTTTAATAAATACTTAAACATATAATCAGAAAGAACATATTTTATATTTACCAGTAATAGCCTGATCTTATGAAGTTTTTCTTTGTCTGCATCATATTGTTTTTCTATAAGTCCAGCTCTAGCCTGAAATAATAAATGTATAATTCAATACATCTATAATTATAATTGGTAATTTATTGGCAACAGAAGGCTCCTTAAGAAGTTAGCAAGAAGGAGCAAGTTAGCCTTCTGGTTAGTATGCCTGTCTCTAAATCAAGAGATTGTCAGTTCAAGCCCTATTCCTGCTATAGCCTTCATTTCTTATTTCCTCATATGACATAAATACTATAAATTTGTTCCAGAAAAAACTCCTAGGAAATGGATCTGATGAGCTTCAAGCATTGATCAATAACTGAGCTAACATGAAAATATTGCAACAAATATGAAAAGCCATTTTTTTCAGTTAGAAAATACATATGTATTTCAGTAAAAAATGGAAAGATTAATATATACATGTATTACACCTGTAATTTTTGTACTATATTTGCTTTAAAATCATATCTAAGACCTGCTTAATTGAAAAACTACAATCACTCAATGATTGATTTTACAGTACTCGTATGTTAACCCTTAACCTGCTGGAAACAAAAGTGATCAGCCTCTGCCACCAGTATAGAGCCAGGCCAGCCTGCACTTCTGTGCAGTCTGACAAGTCCCTATACTATTGGCAGCTCAATTTTTTGTATTTCATAATGAATTCCCTTAAACTTTAAATGGACTGTTTCAAATTCAAAGCTGGACAGATCCCTTATAAGAATATAGCAGTTTAAGCGTTAAAGGATAAAACAATGTTTGTACACTAGATCAGGAAGCCATTTTTAATGCAGCTAAAAAGTTCTTTGAGAAAATTTATTTAAAGGTTTAAAGAAATGTTTGATTTAGAAACTAAATATATACGTACCCTATCCTCTGAAATTTCTCCATCTGTTTCTTTTTTCAACTGATCTATATTGGCCTTTAATCTCGCCATTTCTTCCTTACAATGAGCTTTAAACTCTTGCTCTTGTTTCTTTAAGTTCTCATTCATCGCAACCAAAGATTTCAATGTGGCGAGTATTCTAAAAGGTAAAGTTAATTGCACATGTATATTCAAAGCAGATTAAAAAAAAATGTTTCATTAACACTTAATTTTCATAATATTTTATATGACAACTCTTAAAAAAATTCTTCTCATTTATGTTTTACCAGATTTCTTTGGATGGACTTTTTCATCAAACAAAAATCATTTGACAGTTTGTTTTGATTCACTACTCGGTAATAATCAAAGGGGCCTCTCTTTGCAGTAAACAAAAAATAGACTCATTCTGTAACAACAGAAAAGGCTTCTAATCCATTTCAGAAGAATGTCCATACGTAACAAAAAAGTACAAGCATGCCCCTGTGTAGAACAAAAGAAGCAAGGTAGCTTCATTATCTGAGATAAATGTTTCCTGTATAATTTAAACACAAAATGGCACAAAGCTAGTGATTTGATAGTAGCAAGCTTTCTAATGGGTCACTATCCATATAAAGTAATCATGATACATTCCAGCAACCTTATTTATATGTTAAACTTTAATAATTCATTAGAAATTGCTTTTTCCATATTAAATAATATTGTAATAAAAAATGAAACTTTTCATATGTCAACCTACAACAGAAAATTAAAGAAAACAACAATGTAGCAGTAATAACTACAGTATGGTGTTAATATGATAAACAGAAATTACCCTTGGTTTTCATCTGTTTCCATTTGATTCAGTTTCTCCATTTCTTCATCAATCTTTCCACTGTGAGCCTGGGCCTGAAGTATTCAACATATATTTGATAAATTTGCAAAACATACAAAACCTTGTAACAATCAAAATTAATATAAAATCCAATTTCTTAGTCTTTGGAAAAATAGTACTTGTAAATGACTTCTTTGATTATGGTCTTTAGTAACAAAATGCAAAAACAAGAATTGCTAATTAAGACCTTCATTACAAGTTAACTTTAAACACATATTAACTCTCAGGAGTGAAAAAACAAAGCATTCTGTTAACAGAAGGAACATATGCTTTATGACATTGTAATAATGAATTAAGAAATTTTGAGATGCTTGCAACCTGATGGAAATTAGAGCTGAATAAGAAATAATATGTTACAAAGGTGGCAAAATGTAAACAAAGTAGTATTTTGACTTCCATACACAATACTAAATCACCATGAGTGTACTAATTACAGAAACAAAAAGATGCAAAAGATTTCTTATCTACATATTTCTTATCTACATGACCAGGTGAAAGATCTTTTTGGAAACTGTAAGAGGATGCCAAAAGTAAAAAACTTTTGAGAAATAATAAAAATAAATCATTTTTGAGGCTTAAAGGAACTCCACTGAGGTCCAAAAGTCTAGAAATACATAATTTGAAATTCTTACATAGTTCTTCAAATAAAGCACTTAAAACAGGAAGATATGCAGAAGATAATGAAGAAATAGACTCAGAAATAAATTGAAGGTCTATTTTTGATGTTATTCTCAGCTCAATTTGAGTGTAAACCATTGCAACACTTTTCAATTTTGGGTCAATTTTCACAACTAAAATGATTATCCTGGAAAAAAAAACCAGAATAAGCTAATGATATAAAATGTCACACACAAGTTATTGGTGTAGACCTACATCAAATAGAACACTTATGCCTTCAAGCAAAGATAAAGAGTACTGACAGTAAGGTTTAAAAAAATTGTGTATTAACCTCTTTGAGTTTTTCCTGGGTTTCCATGTAGGCCTTGTGAAGCTCAGCATGTTTTTCTTGTACCTGTAATCACATCAATTTACTGTAAAGTAAGATATTTCAGCAAGACCAAAATTTCGCAAAAATCAAAATTTCTGACTACATCTTTTTGTAATTGGTGAGGTCAAATATTTGCAAATTTTCTACTTTCAGTTGTGTTGAAGTTATCTGGTACTAACATGTTCAGTGAACATTAATTTTTGTGGTAATCTTCAATGAGCAAAATTTAATCCCAAACAAAAATGTCTGACTTTAAAGTAAATTCTGTTATTATCACATGACATATTTTGGCAATGTAATATAACCACTAACATTCTTTCTGTTATATATTCATGATATATTCAAGAAACAAATTTGATTGTTTTTTACTGCAAACAGTTTGTGTTTTATGCATGTGATGTAAAAGACTATTATATTTGTTTAGCTTCATGACTTAATTTAATGAAATTCAGTATTGAACCTAAATTCATTCAAAATCAATTTAAATCCTCAAGATAAAGTAAATGAACCTGCTGTAGCTTGTCTGTGTTTTGTTGTATTTGTTTGCCGAGGGCTGCAGTTATACGTTTATGTTGTTGTGCCCCACCCACTCTCTCACTCTTCTCTATCTGCTCTATCTCCGCTTGCTGAAATATCCAACATAGAAATATAGTCAACATTTAAATAGATTCAATATTTAAAAAGATTCAACATTTAAAAAGATTCAACGTAGAAATATATTCAACATAGACAGATATTCAGCAATTAAGTATACTCAACATTTTAATGTATTATACAATCTATATACAGCTTTGAAATTCCTTTCCCTATTTGGCTAACAAGCAACTTTTTGTAAAACCTACAGGTAAATATCAGAGTATATTCACTGTATTTTTCTTCTAAAAATAATTTTTTGAGTATATTCACTTTTTTTTTCCGCTAAAAATAGATTTTCTGGAAAGCCCACAAAAGACACGTGCTATGACATGATGTAACACCAAGTTTGTTGTTATTTTCCTGAGAAAAATTGGGCAACTTGTTAATAAACGTCAAATTTGTCTATTTTAGTTATTATCTTTATATTTTTAAGAATATTTCAAATGTAGCGTGCCAATGCACTTCTTAAAATGTTGGAGCCAAATAATGGAAAAAAAAGACAAGCTGAAATATGTTGATTTCCATCGTATTCAATGGCAGATTTGATATGCTACATAAAAGTGATTTATAAACTATATAATAAAACAGATACATACATTTTTAGCTGGTGAATATGATGTGATATGTACTGAAAATATTAATATTGACCGCGGTTATTCACCAGCTAAAAAGTCCATATTTGTAAAATATTCAATATACATGTGGGAATTTCTTCAAGATTTAACATATCTTTGTCACACCTACTGGTTAACTTGCATATTTTCATCATAATATTATCATCATCATATTTACCTTTTCAGCATATTCCGAAGCAATCTGTTGTATCTCTGCAGACTGCATACCAACAATAGACCCTACAGTACTTGCCGTCAACTTACCCTGAAACATCATATCAAACATCTGTTTGTGAAACACAACAAAAAAATGAAAGAAGCATATGTTACTAGAAGCTGGACAAGAACTCAAAACTGAGTTTAAAAGTATTTTTATTTTCTATGTAAAATATTCCATTCAAATCTGTTAAACAACTCATAAAATATAATCATTTTTGGGGTTCACTTTGAGCACACACTGGTATCAAATTATTCTATATTTTAGTTAGGTAACCTACCTCCTGCATTCCCATAGCAGACATACCACTCATTAACATGTTTATACGCTTCTGAAACATTCAATTATACAATTTACCATGAATATATTTTTAAAATCATAAATTAGAACTATTCCAGACATAATAGATTTTACAAAAAAAAAATTCTAATTCAAGGCCTCAATCGTTATAAAACTTGAGCTTGAATCAAATAAAATACATGCTTATTCAAAAAAATTCCTGACTTTGCTTATTGGTTAAATGATTTCTGTTGCCAAGTGATAAAATATCATTGTCAACATCTTTCAAAACCATAATTTCTTTTTCCAAGGTTAAACTACATGTAAAGGAATTCTGTAATCTCAAACATTTAGATATCAAACATTTAGATCTATGAATTGGTAAAAAAAAAAAAAAAAAATGTACATGTGATTAATAAAAATACTTAGATTTGAGACAGAACTCATAAAAAAGTTTTATAAATAAGAGGCCTGATTTAAAAAAAAACAAACATATTCTACATGTAGGACACCATTAAATCTTATCAATTAGACCTGATAATTTCTCACCTCTTCCTCAGCCTGCAGCTCCTCCAGAGTTTTTTCCCCTTCTTCCCCACCTACACCAGCAGCTGCTGCTTTCTTCTTCGCAGCCTTTTCATCATCCTGTTTATTTACAAAAAAAAAAACAAAGAAAAAAAAAACAATAAAGAACTGATATTCAACAGCAATTTTACACTTCCATGAAAATATCTAAAGTCACTCACTCTTAACAAATAATATTATATTTAGGTTTTTGATAATTACTTAGGTACAATTATTCATTACCAAAGTTAATTTTATGACACAAACAGTGCAACACTCACTGTTGTTGTACAGTTATAAAAAAACAACCTCATGTTAATAACTTTCATCAATATTGGAATACATACATAAAAAAAAAAATCTCAAGTTACAATTTACCAGTACTGACCTGTTCTTTCTGGTCAGTCTTACTGAAGCCGTATCTACGACCATACTCTAGTAGTGTAGACTGGACCCTCGTCTCCTCGTCCCGCAGTTTATCTATGTCATGACGCTTGTACTTCCTCTCTGGCTTGTATGCTGACTGAAAATACAGAAAGTTGTGATTAATTTTCTCATAATTCAATACAAAACAAGACGTGGTTGGAGTTGCTCCACACCCATGTGAACATGTTTATAAGAAATCAACCATTTCCATTAATAAAGAAAAAAAATAAAGAAATATCCAAAGTAGGACTTGAACTATTGTCCTTTCTTATTTCATAGGGAAGCACTTAACCAATTGTACTATTGCAGATGTGATGACAGTTATTATGCTTTAAGTTAGTGTGACTTTTCAAAACATTAAAAAGTATATGTTCAATATTAATTCTCGGGAATTTGACCGGCAGAAACAAAGTGGGATCAAATATTTAAATGGGAACTATAATATATTCATAACTGACAGGTCAATAAAGTTTATAATTTTCTTTTTAAACAAAAAGTACTGTCACGTTGTTTCCTTATTCTTTGGTCATAACTGTTTTTCTTTGCCTCTTTGTGTATCATTTCAGGCACCAGTGGGCACTTGAATAGGACCACCAAACATTCTGTAAGCTAGACAAATAGCTTTCTCACATAAAAGTATCCGAAGTCCCTGTTTGTTTGAGAACTGTGGGTTCAAGTGATTATGGGCAAGTGATTTGCAGTTGACTACCTCAACTATTGGGCCACATTGGCCCCTGATAATATCTGGAGAGAGTAATCTCAAAAAATGCCTCTGTCTTTTAATGCAAAATATTCAACTGCTATCAATAGTAAGTCAAGCATTTACAGTGAATGTGAACCAGTTTAAAATACAAAAATAAGAAAAATACCAATTACAGTCACTCCTGTAGCATTATAAGATACAGTAACATTCTTGCATGAAATATGGCAATAAAAATATGGATCAACATGATTATTCTAAATTGTTCAGAAAATGGAAAAAGATATCTCTGTACTTTGTTTTTCTTGGGGAAAAGAAATCTTTAATAAGCATTAAAAAATTTAAATCTTAAAATTCTAGGTATATTTCCTTTACCTTCACTTCTGCAACAGTACTGGTTGCCTTCTCTTTTACTGTTAGAAAAGCTTCATCCTGAAATGTATACAGTGAAACTTGGTTACAGAAATGTATACAGTGAAACTTGGTTACAGAAATGTATACAGTGAAACCTGGTTACAGAAATGTATACAGTGAAACTTGGTTACAGAAATGTATACAGTGAAACTTGGTTACAGAAATGTATACAGTAAAACTTGGTTACAGAAATGTATACAGTGAAACTTGGTTACAGAAATGTATACAGTAAAACTTGGTTACAGAAATGTATACAGTAAAACTTGGTTACAGAAATGTATACAGTGAAACTTGGTTACAGAAATGTATACAGTGAAACTTGGTTACAGAAATGTATACAGTGAAACTTGGTTACAGAAATGTATACAGTGAAACTTGGTTACAGAAATGTATACAGTAAAACTTGGTTACAGAAATGTATACAGTAAAACTTGGTTACAGAAATGTATACAGTGAAACTTGGTTACAGAAATGTATACAGTAAAACTTGGTTACAGAAATGTATACAGTGAAACTTGGTTACAGAAATGTATACAGTAAAACTTGGTTACAGAAATGTATACAGTGAAACTTGGTTACAGAAATGTATACAGTGAAACTTGGTTACAGAAAACTCATCAGGACCTTTACATTTTGTATTCTATATGATATCCGAGATCACTTACAACCAAAATAAGGAATAAGTAATTCTAATAAACAAACAAAACATTGGGAACAGCCCATTACATGCACAATTATATACAGGTAGTCTTTGACAAGAAACAGAAAAACTTGCAATGTCAAAATTATTCATGATTCATTCAAATACTATACCAACAACTAGCCTAATTAAACAAGAGTAGCTACACTTAATAATCTATGCATGCAATCTATTGTCAAGATAATGACTATAAAAAACGTTCCTGACAGGAGGCCAAAATAGCTGTCGTAAATACATTTTGGGTCGCCTCAAAAAGCACTCTATGTTGTATTTGATATACCAAAAATGCCCCCTGAAATCCAAAATGGGCCGCCTCAGAAAAAATTCTAATGACAACCCTGACTGCTTAAAATCATTCACTAAAAACATGTACTGTACACAAAACACACCTCCAACTAAGGTTATACTAACAAAGGATTCAAATGTTATACAAACTATCTTCATTCGGTAACTTCGATCAGACAAATAGACAAGATGATAACCTATTTATTTTGTATCAAGCTTGTTCTGTCACGTTTCAGACATCATTTACATCATATTTACTAACACAAGAGATAGTTTGACATTGACACCATGACTGGTTTTATCTTATTATGATAATATTTTGACCAGACTATGTACACAATATTACATACTACATTTGATATATAAAACTGCCCAGGTCACAATGTACCATGTAATTGATAAATAAAGTTAATTTGATAAATACAATGACTATCAAGTGCAGAAGTACCAATAATATTTACTTTGTATATAAAACTATGATATATTATGATAATGAGTCAAAATTTAAACCTACATGTATATAATATCAACAACGACCTTTTTATTGAAGTATGACCCAGTAACGAGTAGTTACCAACAAGCTCTGATATATAAAAGATTGTATAACCTATGAAGATTTATATTGTATATTATTTATAAAAGCACTGTTCTGATCTGGTCAATTAGCCATGACCACGCTTCCACAAAATTAAAAGACTGGTACACCCCTTTAATATGTGTAGACCTGATGACTGCATACAAGCGATACATTCTTTCAAAGGATAAACAAATATTCTATCATAGCCAGTTGTAAGCAATATTACAATCATAGATCTATGTTTTGGTCAATATATTATTTTCTGACCTGAAAAATGTAATATGAACCTTGTACAATCATCCTCGGTTGATATAACTTTTTTTTCAGGTTAAAAAAACTATATATCCTTAGTGCGGTAAACAGTTAACATTCCTTTTAAAATTTATTAGGAATTACCCGTAACTGCACTTAGGCAACAATATAGACCTCAACTTAGTTTATAATTGTATTATATTGCCAACTCAACTGTAAGATCTAGATTTTTTCCATCACAGCAAAAAAACAAACAACATCTGATAACATAACACACCACTAATATTAATCAGTCTATCAGGGGAATTTTAGGAAATGCATCCTAAAAAGCAAAGTTTATAACCCTTTCAGTCAGGTGATAAATCACTATAAATAACTTTTTATCTGTAATTATTTACATAAATCTGATGTACTTATTATCATCAATTATTTAATTTGCATTTACAGATAAAATGTATGCAGCAAAACAGATAAATCAGCAACATAAAGACAAGCAGCATTCTGTGTAACAGGAAGCAGAAACCTTACAGCTAAGCCAAAGGATAATGGGTTTGAATCCTCCATAGGTGATTGACTGATTAAAACCATACTATAGTAACTACACCTGTATTGTTTTATGAAAACAACATGCACATGAAAAAAACTTGCTTCACTATCAATAAATTATGTTTTTAAACTTAAATTCAATTGAGAATAATGGTCATCATGTCCAATCAGGTAGCTAGCTACCTCAAAAGAAAAAACTTAACTTCCTCAACAGGACTGTAACCAAGGTTGGTGATCACTAACCTTAACCTGCATGGACCGAAAGTTAAGTGATTAGCCATAGTTAGACCAGTCTGCACACCTGTACAGTTCTGACCTGGCTTTATTACACTTTCAACTAACTTACTTTACAGTCCCATCTTGATAGGTCCAAATCTGATAATGGACAGATCCATAAATTAAAGCTTGACAAGTCCATTTAATAAATTTAGTATGTTAAGGGCTAATGTTACATTAACTACTCTACATATGTGAACTACACACAAATTGTTAACTGACCTCTGGAGTGGAATGGTTTTTGTTGAATTGTGACACTGAGAAGTTTCTGATATAGTCTCCCAGCTCCTCTCTTGTTTCAATAGCACGCTTCACCAGCCACTGTAACATTACATATCACTTTGAAATTCTGATAATTTCTAATAATAATAAAGCTAATAATAATCAATACAGTTTTAGGGACAATTACACTTTATAGAAATAGACCTGATGTTTCTGTAACCAGCACACTTAAAATTAGCAACAGCTAATAGCATTTTTAATTTTGTTATGCTGTTCATTTTTGTTTATGATTTTTATCATTTCATTTCTCATTCACCACATATCAGGGGCAACTGCTGCCCCCTCCCCCATTCCCCAATATTGATTCAATTAAAAATGGCTGCCACATTACAATTTCACACATGTACAACGAGCGTGTACTGGTAAAGCACATTTTATCCTAATGTTTTTCATGCATATAATTAAATACTTTTACTAGTATCTAAGTAAAGCAATTATAATTTACATGTTACACATGTTAAAGTTTACCATTGTATTAAAATAATAAACTAGAGGGAACCAAACAGAATCATGGACCATTTAAGCAGAACATTGTAAATTGTAAGTAGAATCATGGGCTCTCTAAGTAGAATCATGGACTCTAATCAGAACCATGGACAACATATTAAGTAGAGCCATGGACAACATATTAAGTAGAACCATGGACTATCCAAACAGAACACCAGTGCAGTCTTAACAGGCTTTATACAAATGGCTATAACTAGTTTAACCAGTTTTAAATTTTCAAATATCTAATATTCCCAAATTGATTATCAACAGTGCCAAAACTGGAAACTGAAAAGTCCTTTATGAAATTATGAAGGAAAAACCTTAAAAGTTCAAAACTGTCATAAAAGGTATGCCAAAGAAACAAGAAGGTCCAAGAACCTTAAATTCTTCTGATTGATCTGACAGGTTGTATAAAGAAATTTTAAAAGAATGCAGCTGAACTTACAACATATATATATGTAAATCAAAGGGAAGTGTATAAATTATGATATTTCTGGTCAGACTATGACAAAATATTTATCACTATTCAAGACTGACATTTCATTAAAATAAAACATCTACCATATGATATATATACATGTATACCTGAACAACTGGGTAAATATGTATAAAATCAAGACCCTGGATTTGATGAGGCTCTATTCTATGTGGACATTTCATCCTGGGCAGTACTGCTACAATCTTCTCAGTCAAAGCACTGAAAGCATTCACATTTATTATTTCATTTTTTAAATTTATTTATATTTTGTTTTTGTTGGCTTTTAAGTCGCAACAACACATTAGAGGTCATATGACGACTTTCCAGCTTTACTGATGGTGGATGACCTTATGTGCCTGTCTGTGCATTATTTCAGGCACAAGCCATCACCTAAGTAGAACAACCAACATTCCATAATCTAATTGTATAGTGAGTGCCCATGAAATGAAATAATTCAGCATCCATCAGTACTAGTAGTAAGGGGCAAGTGAATAAAACTCTATAATATTAACTATCATTTCCCTGTTGTAGGGGCAGGGTTTGCTACCATTTGTTCGTTCGGAAAATTGTGATATACAACTGTGAGCGGCTTAAAAGAGAAAAGAACTGATTAAGCTTACTTTCAAACCTTGAATTTAGAATGTTATAACCAACAATTTATTCATCCATTTATGTACATATATGTAATAATATGTATTTTATAGTATGTGCTTGTTTAAAAATATTCTATTATTCATGTCTATGCACCCAATAACAAGGACGACACTAGAATAATAAGGGATTTTTTTTGTTATCCATTGTACTGTGTTGCATGCCATGGTTAATATGCTTGTATTTTGTATAATATTTTAAGATTACAACATAGGCTTTGCACAAGAAAGTTTACAAATAAATTTGCAATTTTTTTAATGTTTTAATATATAAACCAAAGAGTGTAGTAAAGTGTACAAATGTACATACATTTTCTGACCAATGGTAGAGTTTTCCTGGAACAGCAGATCAACATCTATATCTACATTACATGTTGTGATACACCAGGTCATTCCACCTACAACCTGTTTACAAAAAACAATTATGTCATAAGTGGTGTGAGCTATTTTGATCAGCCCATATGTTGAGTCAGAACTGTAAATGCAACTAACCAAAATAAACAATGATTAGATAACTACATGAGGAAAATAAACAATGTAACAGATTGTTAATGAGTCAATACTGAACACATCTTCTTAAATGTAAAACCTATATAACTAATGGCCTGATATTTAATTCTCACCATGTACTAAATATCTTACTTGTCCTTACAATCTGAACAAAACCATTAATCACTTTGTATGTATGTATTCTAGGCTTAATGAGGGTCCATCCGCCTTTTCAGACACTGAGAGTACGGACCCCAGACATGTCACCATTCATGTCCTTAAAGGTTATAATCTGGTAAAAGCTAACTTATGAATTTTGAATTCAGTAATAGTTCACTGATGATACTAAATTATATTTAAGTCGATTTTTGTGATGTTTACTATTTTTATACCTGGAAGGCCAATGAGACCATTATATGCATCATGGGGGGGGGTGTATAATGTGCTGCTGCCGAAATAAATGATCACATCTTTCAGCTTGATTAACTGATAAGGTTTTGCAAATTAAACCATGTATTTATTCAATAAGTATAGCAATCAATTTATTAGTCACTTTAAAGGAAAACTGACTGAATAGCTAACAGTGCAGATCTTGTTTGCTCTGGTCACATGGGTAGATTCAGTTGCCATCAGCAGTTTAGAGGTTAAGTAAAAATCTCTTGATTCTTTTAACTTCTTTTAACATTTCTTCATTAATGAATACTTGATTTGATGTTGTCTGTCAATAGTATATCAGAAAAACAAACCTTGTCAAAGGGAGATAATCCCTTAATTCTTGCCCTGAAATAGCCTGCTGCAAGGAGAAGTTCAATTGTTTGTAAAAGCTTGACATTCTGTTCCTCATCTTCACGTACATCAAACTGGAAGTATTACATTATCACAAACATGTACATGTGTAATTGACAAATGTCAATGAAACCTTTAGATATATGTATATGACATGATTCCTTTATGAAATACACTTATAATATCTTTGTCCTTGAATAAATGAAAATTGAAAGCTTTACAGTCATCTCTGAATGAAAGCAGAAACCACCATCAATGTCTAACTTGTGCAAAAAAAAAGATTTTTTTCTTACAGTAAAGTGCTCCATGAAAAGGACTTAACTGCAGTATCATAAAGTACATGACAATGTAACATAATTATCAAAGTTATTAAGTAATTAATCAAAGCCAATACCATTATGTTCAATCTCCCATGTTTCTAAGATAAGTTTTATTTCAAGTCGGCAAGTTTACAACATAAGCTCTTAGAGCTTTTATAACTGACTGTAATTTTAACATAAAGTATAACATCAACTTTGATAACAGCTGCAATAAAAATTGATTAGGCATAATGTACACATATAAAACAGTCCTTTTTTAAATCAAACATTAATCAATAAAAATAAATCAGATGCTAATAAAACTAAAATGACAGTATACTTAATTCTACATCACTAGCTAGTTTATTCAATCAATACTTACAATATTAAATATCTAAAATCAGTTTACTAAAAGTTCATTAATATATCGATTTAAACAATTTAAATAATTAATGAATAGATAAATAGAAAATAAAATTAAATAAATTAAAAAATATATATCTTTTTTAGTATTAATAATACTAAAATTCATTTTTTTTTAGCTATTTTTAAATATATGAAAGACTATGGTTTAACAAATAAATAAAACAAATACAGAGGGACAATAAGTCAACAGTTGAACTCATATAAGATTCTAGGTTAAGATTCTTAACATACACCTGGTGATTAATAGGTAATAATAAGCGAGTGGCTTCAATGTCCTTTTCCAATTTAACTTTAATTATTTGTGATAAAACAAACCAATATATTAATAAATTAAATAGTACTGTAGGCCGAGTTGACAAGTTGGAATAGGGGCAAGCTGACTCAGGGGCAAAGTACGTTTTAGGGCCAAGCTGACCCTGATTCACCCAGAGCCTTTTTACTATAGAAGTAATCTGAGTGATTTTGTAGAAAAAACTGAATATTGAATATTGCAGGGTCTTTCAAATAGAATGGTCTTGAAACGCGCTATGTTAACCCTTCTCGCTGCAATTAAACATGTCTCGGTATAACTCGGTATAGTTTGCTATACGCAAATTATGTAAATGTTCAAGAAAAGGGCAAATATTAAATACAAGAGCAAAAATGAAAATTTTAACGACATGATGTGATTTAAAAATCTTTAAACTTGTGAAAAAAGGATAAATATTTCAGAAAATAATGTTTTTTAAAGCCATATTTGTTGAAAAACATAGATTGCTTGTTCAGAATATTTGCCGATAAACGGCGACATTTTGAAAAAAGCACCATATTAAACATCAAATATTTGCAATAACATCGTGAAATATTAGAATATCTTTACATGATACGATTTAATAACATCTTTTCTCTGTAAAATCAATTTCTATTTTGTTATTGAACAATGCATAAATTTAAAAAAGCTCATGAAACTCGGACCTATTTTCAAATTTGAGCAGTAGATTTTTACCTTGACACCGGGAATGAAAAATTCCTAATTTCATTGCAAATCTATAAAATTGTTACTTTTAAAGTAAAAACTGATAATATAATGTTAGTTAGTTTTTAGTATTTTTTTTTATCTTATAATTTGATTTTTGAACGGTGATGTGCTATGCCAGATAAAAGTCTGTAGATAACCCAATCACGTGACTCAACCGAGACAGCTTTTTTAGTAAAATTGGTCCGTCTCCAGACCTTTCTATTTGAAAGACCCTGAATATTGGAACAGTTGACAAAAGAAATATTGGGTAAAAGGTTAATAATAAATGAGGACAGAATCTTACGTCTAGCAAATATTCCATAATTTAGATTTTATGGTTTTGACTGATTTCAAATTATTCATATTAAATGATATTTTTCGTTTACTTTTATAAGGCGGTGGGATGCAGTGGGTTTGCGGTACTGGCTCTTGTTTCTAAACTAGCTACGCAACATGCACCTGTGTATTGAAAAAGGACATTACGTGGCTTTTAAGTATAGACCATTTTTAGAGGGAACCTTACAAAAAGGGTGGAGCCTAGCAGATTTATAAGACAACTGCCTGTGTGTCCACATCAAATTCTAAACATTCGGCAAAATGAAAATATTATATAAGAATAATACTTCAACTTCATTTCCGTCTGCGTCAATTTGTGTATTGAAAAAGGACATTACGTGGCTTTTAAGTATAGACCATTTTTAGAGGGAACCTTACAAAAAGGGTGGAGCCTAGCAGATTTATAAGACAACTGCCTGTGTGTCCACATCAAATTCTAAACATTCGGCAAAATGAAAATATTATATGAGAATAATACTTCAACTTCATTTCCGTCTGCGTCAATCTGGTTTCCAGAAGCTCTCACAGAACCAGACCTTGGTTTTCCAGCAAAAAGACTCCCACTGGCCGCCATTTTGTTCAAGTCACATGATCAAAATATTGGTTTCGGCAATGTTCTGATTTTACCCAAATCGAGATTTGGCGGAATGCAACGAACTTAAAATAGGTCAAGCGTAGCACATCGAACGCCTTCATTATAATATTATGTCACCTGTTAACCTCCGTTCCGATTGGCCAATTTCCCCTCCGTGTTTTTCTCGAGTTTTGATTGGCTCTGTGAACGTGGAACGATCCTGTGTTGTGGTCATGTGACACATCAGGCTATCAGCTGTAAACGAAAGACTAAAATCCTGACAGAAATAGTTATTTAAGTACGTGTGAAGTAAGAATTTTACATCAATGTTGTTGTCTGTGATATCCTAACAAACAAGTTAGTGAAAAGGTAAGTTACTTTCATTATATTTCAATTATTAATGGAGTGTTTTGCCAAAGAGGTGACAGTGTATCAAATGCATTAGCAAATTGCTGGTGTATTTTTAGGTAAGCCATCATATATGAAACTGCATTGTACATGTAACCATTAATTTTGCTTTCGTTTTTTCCAAGATATATGTTTTACTTTTATTTTACTGCTTTGTCAACAGACAGTGTTCTAGTGTTCATTCAGTTGAGTGGTTTTTGTCTTGCTGGAAAATGTTATCTTACTTCATCAGTTCATCACAACAGGGATGTTTGTTATCATTCTGTTGAAACAAAAACTTGACAACTATTATACAAACATTCTGCCAGATTATAGTAAGAACAGTGGGTTAGACAATATGTAATACTGAATGTTTCAGAAGACAGTTAAAACAAAAATGTTTGATCTGTGTAGCTTGGGTGCTAGCCTAATGCTGATGATGTCACACTTAAACATTTATTCATATTTACATAAGTTGCCATTTGACCTAAAACTGTGTTGGTGTGACGTTAAACCCAAGAAAATAAATAAATCACATATACAATACTAGTTTAGCTTATCACGTTAATACTTCCCCCTTTTAAAAGTAGTTTAGATCAAACATGTATTTTCTGATAGTGAATATTACGGTATTATAGTTTTGCAAACCTTCTCTACACCTAGTATGTTTAACAGATGAGTGTTAACACCAATGCAATGCTCTTGTTATTTTAGTTATTATTGATACATCTTATGATTCTATCATTAAGACTATCGTTAATATTAAACTTTCATTATGATCATTATATGTCTATATGCTCATTTCTTGTAGATCTTGTTTTAACCCTTGTCACACATGTAAACATATCAATGTAATAACAACATTTTGTAGTGTTTCAGTGTTTATTAGGGTTATTAATACTTATTCAAGTTCAGTGTCACAATTTGTGTATCTTGATTATAGATAGTAGAAAATATTACTGGTAGACATGCACTTGGTGCGTTAAATATAGGTCAGTTGTTTGATGATAACCTTGTTTAAGTTTTGATTTATTTTACATTTCATTGGTTTAACTCAATGAAAATGTCATCAATTCAAATCATCAACTTTTCTCTAAATCATTAACATACCTGAGAGATCTCAGGGGACACTTGCTTGCTGTAATAACACTTAAATTTTGTCTGATATACTGTATAATAAAATGTCTGGGTATAAAGGACCATTATTGATGATAACATTAAGTTTGGTTCCTGAAGAGTGATTACATGTACAGTCTTCACGAAAAACTTTAAAAAGCACAGGACATTCGGGCCAGTAAAATTTCAAATCTTACTGGACCTGGTGATTTTTAACCGGACCAAATGCATAGATAGGTAATAAATTGATGGGTAAAGGAAAACACTTTATCATGCTTCCCTTGATAACTTTGAAAGAAGCATAATACTTCTTGTATTCTGGGCCATATGTTGACAGCTTTGAAAAATCTATAAGGACCAAATGTTTAGACAAAACTGTCTAGAATTGAACATGAACAACACAATTTGCTTCAAACAAATCAGTTTCACAAAAAATATTTACTTAACTCAATAATCACAAAATCATAGCTAAATAATGACCATAATAAACAATGGTTTAATTTCCGTAACTATACGGTGCGGTACAGAAAATATCCAAGAAAAATTAATGGCGGCCTCCAATACTCAAAACAATTTAGACATCTCTCGCTGTGTTTTGAACATTTAGGACAGAATTGATGGGTTTCATTTGCAAAAAAGATCAATCTTTTAGGGAACCCTGCTTCATTATTTTGATGAATTTTTCTTATAATATTTTTTATGGCCAAAAATCTACTGGCCCATCAGACCACCAACCTTGCAATAATCACCGGACCGATGCTAAATTTAGTGGCCTCGTACTGGCGTTAATTTCGAAGACTGCATATATATATACATGTATATATATATGCGTGTACTCCTGATAAAGGATTCATTTGTTTTCATTTCTTTGCTTATTTTATATTTGACTTGTTATGACTCATATTAGTTTCTTTTTAAACATAAAAATGAGAGGTCCTGCAAAGTGAAAATTAATTTTGAAAGTTTTGGTGTATTGCTTTACAGTGTTTTTATGCCACCGCAGCATCTGCGATGCGGTGGCATATAGCGATTCACCTGTGTGTGTGTGTGTGTGTTTGTGTGTGTGTTTGTGTGTGTGTTATATAGATTATATAGTGAACTTAAAAAATCTTCTTGTGAAAAACCACTTGTCCAATTTCAACCAAACTTGGCAGGATTGTTCCTTGGGTGAAGGGCTTCCAAAGTTGTTCAAAGAATTTCATTCCATGCAGAAATCTGGTTGCCATGGCAACCAAAAGGAATTATAAGAATAAATTTAAAAAATCTTCTTGTAAAGACCCAAAAGGCCTAGAGCTTAGATATTTTGCATAAGGCTTTGTATGGTAGACCTCTAACAAGATTGTTCAAATTATAGCCCTGGGGTCAAAATTGGCCCCGCCCCGGGGGTCATTGATTTTCACTATGAACATATGGTAAAAACTTAAAATACCTTCTTGTAAAAACCCAAAAGGCCTAGAGCTTAGATATTTTGCATAAGACATCGTCTGGTAGACCCTTACCAAGATTGTTCAAATTATAGCCCTTTGGTCAAAATCGGCCCCGCCCCGGGGTCATTGATTTTCACTATATGTACATATAGTAAAAACTTAAAACACCTTCTTGTTAAGACCCAAAAGGCCTAGAGCTTAGATATTTTGCATAAGGCATTGTCTGGTAGACCTCTACCCAGATTGTTCAAATTATAGCCCTGGGGTCAAAATCGGCCCCGCCCCGGGGGTCATTGGTTTTCCTTATATGTATATAGTAAAAACTTATAGTAAAAACTTCAAAAAAATTCTTCTAGCAATTGACAAATGCTAGAGGTTAGATATTTTGCATGAAACATTGTGTAGTAAACCTCTAGCAAGATTGTTCAAATTATAGCCCTGGGGTCAAATTGCCCCCGCCCTGGGGGTCATTGATTTCAATATATACATATAGTAAAAAAATCTTATTGTCTGAAGGTACAAGGCTAAGAGCTTTAATATTTGTTAAATAATATCATCTAAAGGTACTCTACAAAAGTTATTCAAATGTTGCCTCTTGTGTCAATATTAGCCCCGCCCCCGGGGGCCATAGGTTTTCCTTATATGTATATAGTAAAAACTTAAAAAATCATCTTCTCTAAATTTACAAAGGCTAGAGTTAAGATATTTTGCATGAATTATTGTGTAGTGAACCTCTTGCAAGATTGTTCAAATTATAGCCCTGGGGTCAAAATTGGTTCCGCCCCGGGGGTCATTGATTTTCATTATGTACATATATTAGTGAAAAAATAAAAAATATTTTTGTCTGAAGGTACAAGGCATAGGGCTTTGTTGTTTGATATATAATATCATTTATAGGTCCTCTACCAAAGTTGTTCAAATTTTTCCCCTGGTGTCAAAATTTGCCCTGCCCGGGGGCAGTGATTCTCATTATGTACACATAGTAAAAACAGAAAATAAAACAAATGTTTTCTGAATGGGAGAAAGCTATAGCTTAGATATTTGACTTGAAATGTTGTTTGGTGGACCTGTATCAAAATTGTTTTGAATTAAACCCTTGGGTCAAAATTATGCCTTGCCCAAGGGGACAGTGACCTACTTTCTTGTCCTTTGATGTACAGCAATGACATTTTGACCATGTGCACAGTTTTAGTTGTAAAATTGAACTTTGATATCAGGTGACCTAGATTTTGATGATGTGACCTACTTTCTTGTCCTTTGATGTACAGCTATGAAATTTGAACCATGCGGTGGCATAGCATTTTTCTCAAATGCAATCTTGTTTTTTTGTTTTTTTTTTTCAGCATTATCTATGATAATGAGTCCAATGATGAATACCTTGGTCAGAGCGTTGATTCTTTTTTTCTTTGGAGTATTCTTCTCTCTCGTCTTGAACCTGCTTCAAGTATACAGAGAACAATTAGATGAGGACCGGCAGCCTGGCAAGTTTGATCACTTTGAGTCGTCATGGTGGGTCCTCCCTGCGTGTGGAATGACAGCATGTGAGTAGTTGAAATATATATCGATAATCATATTCATGTCATGAAGTAGCCCATTAAGGAATTGATGTGGTACTAGGGGTGTGGAAATATTAACTTTTGCCACTTGCTTGTAATGGACAAATTGGGCAGAAGTTTTTACTTGTCTGCAGCTTAACTTTACTTGCACATTTAAAAATACAAAACATAAGCCACAAGTTTTAACAAAATTTGATGAAAGGTAACAGTGTCCTTTCATAGTAAGGTGTCAAGGAGCTTGCCTTCCTACAAGAGTTTGCCATGGTATGTGATTAATGATATGAAAAAGTACTCATTACTAGGGGCCACATTACTAGTACATGTAATCTAAGATATGATATCTCAACTTATTAAAATAAATGTTCCCCATTGACAAGAGACAGAAATACTTTATTTTGTTTATCCTTATTACTTGTCCATGGACAAATTCTATTGAAAAATCTAATACAGAGGGGCACCAATATGTCAGAAAAGTTAGAAAAGGAGCCATGTGACTTTAACAGTGTCATTATGACTGAAACTCTCCCCCCCCCCCCCCCTCCCAAGAAGCATGTAAGATACTATTTATTTGTGACTATGGCAATACCTACATGTTTAAAGTTAAGAAATCTAAAGTAACATCTTGAAATGATACTAAGATTTATTCATTATGCATCTTCTCTAATCAGATTGTTGATTAAGATTTGTTAAAGAGAAGTAATCTTTATCAATTATGATTAACCCAATATATTGTAACTTTTCTTCTCTTTTTTTACAGCATTTGTTGGCTTACTGTACCCATTTTTGGACAAACGTTTAGATGAACCCTTAATATATAAAGGTGAATGGTCAAATGTGATGAGATGTGTTGCTGTCTTTGTAGGAATCAACCATGCCAGTGCTGTATCCTTTCTGAGTGACTATATAATGTGCATAAACCTTAACTTGCCACTCACTGCTATGACAGCAATGAGAAAGAGTCAAGCAAAATAAACACACTTTGAATGAAGTTCTCAAGTTAACTTATTGAAGATTTAAAGTGAAAAATCCATTTGTCACAACCTTTACTTAATACCAAGTTGGAAATTTTCAGTCTAAATTTTCTGCAGATAAAGATGAAAAAATTAAGACTACAATGTACTTGAATGAAATTAATGCCAGAATTAAGATCTAGTAGATAATCATAGATAGAATATTTATGCCAGAATTAACATATTATAAATCATTTAATGCTGGAAACATTGATGACAGCCTTTTTGTCATCTGACCAGTACATTTACACAGCATGAGCAGCTTGACCATACTCTGTACTTTGGACTTGTTACTTTAGCATTATACATGTATGCTCAAATTCCAAGTTGTACAAGTCTTTCATGAAAATTAGGTAGCTTAGGTCAGAAGTTTAAAACTTCACAAGATTATCCTATTAGAGATTCATTTACAATAGTGCAGCTCATAAAAGTTTTCTTTTAATTCATAATTTTGCTTATTTTGTTAAAAATTATTCTTCTGAAGAAAATAATTCATAAACTTTTTTTCATAACATTAAAACTAGAAAACTAGTGTCTCAAAGCTTAATAATGATGTGTAATGTAACTAAAGGTTTGATGACTACAACATGTAACATGTATGTATAGCTTGGGGCAGTTTTAATGATAATATGAAAGTTACATGTTGATGTCATGTATAAATTGAGAAATACTACTGAATATATTGAGAGGATAATGTTTACTTCAAATAATTATTAGAAAACAGATTTTTAACATGAAAATGCATCTTTGATAGATACAGTTGTTCATTTAAATGGTAAAAGTTTTACTGTTTTTAAAGTCTGCTGGCAGTGATTGTAACAAGCCTTTACTACTGTGTAACAGGGTATCTTTCCCTTTCTAAAGCTTTCATGCTGTACATCGGGAAAATTCTTTAAAATTCTGTAGTTTTTCCCAAAAAAATCCATTTAATATTTATCTATCCCTTTTGCTAAAATACTGTGTTAATTTTTCCTAATTTGTAAAGGGAGGGCATTCTTACAAAAATGTTGTCAGCTGCTTAATTCTTAAATTTTGATATTGGAAACCCCCTTAACAGGGCTGCTGATTGTCCACGTATTCGCGGAAATCCGCGGATTTCGTGAGCTCCTGGGTCATTTTTGAGATCGATGTAAATTCGACAAAGACAACTAGACCTATCACTGAAGGTGATTAATACCCCCACCAGCAACTTTTTGAAAAATAAATAGTCTGAAGAAAAATTTTAACACAAACTATCAACTGTGTACAAAGAAATATTTCAATTAATTGTAATCCCAACTGGGGTCTCCAAATAAGCTTGCTTTTCACAAAGTTTGATTACAATATCTCATTCCTAACTCTAGTTATTGTCCGGAAACCATTTTTCTATTTTTAGGAATGGTGACCTTGACCCCAGGGGGTCCAAATACAATACCAACCCAGGTCTTCATATAAGCTTGCTATACACCAAGTTTGATAACAATATCTCATTCCTAACTCTAGTTATTGTCCGGAAACCATTTTTCTATTTTTAGTAACGGTGACCTTGACCTTGACCCCAGGGGGTCCAAAAACAATACCAACCCAGGTCTTCATATAAGCTTGCTATACACCAAGTTTGATTACAATATCTCATTCCTAACTCAAGTTATTGTCCGGAAACCATTTTTCTATTTTTAGTAACCATGACCTTGACCTTGACCCCAGGGGGTCCAAAAACAATACCAACCCAGGTCTTCATATAAGCTTGCTTATCACAAAGTTTGATTACAATATCTCATTCCTAACTCTAGTTATTGTCCGGAAACCATTTTTCTATTTTTAGTAACGGTGACCTTGACCCCAGGGGGTCCAAATGCAATACCAACCCAGGTCTTCATATAAGCTTGCTATACACCAAGTTTGATAACAATATCTCATTCCTAACTCTAGTTATTGTCCGGAAACCATTTTTCTATTTTTAGTAACGGTGACCTTGACCTTGACCCCAGGGGGTCCAAAAACAATACCAACCCAGGTCTTCATATAAGCTTGCTATACACCAAGTTTGATTACAATATCTCATTCCTAACTCAAGTTATTGTCCGGAAACCATTTTTCTATTTTTAGTAACCATGACCTTGACCTTGACCCCAGGGGGTCCAAAAACAATACCAACCCAGGTCTTCATATAAGCTTGCTTATCACAAAGTTTGATTACAATATCTCATTCCTAACTCTAGTTATTGTCCGGAAACCATTTTTCTATTTTTAGGAATGGTGACCTTGACCCCAGGGGGTCCAAATACAATACCAACCCAGGTCTTCATATAAGCTTGCTATACACCAAGTTTGATAACAATATCTCATTCCTAACTCTAGTTATTGTCCGGAAACCATTTTTCTATTTTTAGTAATGGTGACCTTGACCTTGACCCCAGGGGGTCCAAAAACAATACCAACCCAGGTCTTCATATAAGCTTGCTTATCACAAAGTTTGATTACAATATCTCATTCCTAACTCTAGTTATTGTCCGGAAACCATTTTTCTATTTTTAGTAACCATGACCTTGACCTTGACCCCAGGGGTTCCAAAAACAATACCAACCCAGGTCTTCATATAAGCTTGCTATACACCAAGTTTGATTACAATATCTCATTCCTAACTCTAGTTATTGTCCGGAAACCATTTTTCTATTTTTAGTAACGGTGACCTTGACCCCAGGGGGTCCAAATGCAATACCAACCGGAGTTTCCACATAAGGTTGCTATATACCAAGTTTGAATACAATACCTCATTCCAAACTCTAGTTATCGTCCGGAAACCATGATGTGGACCGACCGACGGACGGACCGACCGACCGACAAGCTGACTCCTATATACCCCCCCCTAAACTTCGTTTGTGGGGGTATAATAAATTCATTCGTCATATTTTATACAGTACCCAAAAACCGGCACGCTTCGGCTTTTATCGTTTCGCTAGCCGCCTATGGTATGTCTGTAAGCGCTTTTCTCGTTGGTCAAATCGAGTCTTTTCCGGCATTCTATTTTAGAATAACCAATCAAATTACAGTTTTCATTGTCGCTCTTGTCTGTTGTCAATGTGCGGCAAAATGTCGGATATTTGTTTTGAGGGCTGATGAAAACCTGAAGTCCAACTAAAGTGTCTCTGAATGGCTTTAAAGGCAACCAAGGAAGTCAAATTCCAGGAAATTGATTTTGGGGCATACCAAATCATCAGAATCCAAGAGCTTCCGGGGGATTCGCCCCCTGGGCCCCCACAAGGGCTCTGCCCTTGACCCGCAAAGGGGGCTTGTGCAGCCCCCTTGACCCCCGCGTATTTTCCTCTGATTTTGCAATTTGCTGTTGGCAGCCCTGCCTAAAGATATAGTTCTATAAGTTGCGATTCAATATTGAAAGTATTTTTCCTTAATAGATATGATCAGAAATTGGAATTTTCTAACAATTTACACATGTCCCTGACACTGGCAGCAATGTGTATAGGTCTGTGGTGGTTGTTTGACAGATCTAAAAGTGGATTTGTACTAGGTGTGTGCACAGCTGTCCTTGCTACAGTGCTAACACAGTTCCTAGTTTATCAGGGAATCTACAAGTAAGTTATTATCAATCAACACTAATTAGTGACTTAATCACCATAAACTTACTGGATTTCTTAAATGTATTTGTCCAGCTACCATATTGTAACCTAAAACCCATGGAAACAAAGTGATGGGTCTGTTACTTTGTTTTGTAATTAGAGGTTTAAAGAAAATGTAACAAAAACTTTCATTAAAAGCTATTTATGATTGTAGAATGTGTAGTGATAAACATTTGATATGCATATCTGTTGATAATATCATTCATTTCCATTTGTTGGTGTATATATATATTGAAAGACATTGTCTTATTGTAATATTATGTGTTGTTTTTGACAATTTTATCCTTCACTCTGTACAATAAAAACTGTACAAATTATGAAATATAATTATGTCTCCCCCACCTCGGGGGAGACATATTGTTTTTGCCCTGTCCGTCCGTCAGTCCGTCCGTCCGTCAGTCCGTCCGTGTTGACGAGGGGTTACCTGTGCTGCAATTTTCTTAAAAAAAGGGGTACTTGTGCTCCGGTGGTGGTTATGTGACTGTCTTGTGTGATAGTCACAGAAGCAAATGTGTCCAAAAATGCTAAGGAAGACTTGTGTGACTGTCCTGTTCAGTCCGTAGAAAATCGGAGCACAAGTACAATCGGACAAAAAAATTGTCCGTAGGAATGTATGTTAGGATCCGTGTTTTGGATGTTACCGTATTTTTTTTTCTCTCGACTGGTTATACGTGTATAGA